AAAAATAAATATTATCTAATATACCAAATTGATAACCAAACCGACTATTGATAAAAAAAAAAATTAAACTGGTAATAATATATCCAAAGTCATATGTATAATTAGAATAATATAATATTTATTAACATAAATTATACATATAAATTGATTAAAAACTAAAACTAAATACCAATCAATTATTTATTTCATTTAAGCACAATATATATTAAGTTATACACAATTTAACTATCATATATTTACATATCTAAGAATATAGTTACATAAAGACAATAACCAACCGAAATGAAAATAACTAAATTAATCAAATTTTTATTATATTTAGAATAAAAGATATTATAGCTGAATTCGAAAAATAGATATTATCCAATATACCAAATTGATAACCAAACCAACTATTGATCCGAAAAATAATTACACCGACAATAATATATCCAAAGTCATATGTATAATTAGAATAATATAATACTTATAAAATTATACATATTAATTGATTCAAAACTAAAACTAAATACCAATCAATTATTATAAAATTTTACTTTTATGAATATTCATACCCGTGCATGAGCACGGGAAAATCACCTAGTAAAATCTATTACTTCTAAAACTTTTGTATTATTAAGTCCATAATTTGAATCTGTATATACCCACACAGGATGCGGGCCGGTCACCTAGTAGTTCATTAATTTAAATGTATGAAACACGAATGATTGCATATTTAAGTAGCTCTTAATTAATAGTCAAATTAATAGGTTATTTTACACTCTTGAGTTGTGAATACGTTCATCTACTAGCTAGTAGCTACCATTATGAAAGGTTATACTTTATGGAAAGTTTACCGAAAAAGAATATAGGGGTCGTTCGTGACTTATACATACCTTCTTTTCATTTTTTTCTCATCTAGAGAATACAACAAGGACTGGCAAAAAATGTTATACTTACGAAAACTAAAGTATGTATCACAAAATTGATAAATTGTCGTAGATATAACTCGGTCCATGTTCTTACCCCATGAGGACTGTTCCTTTAATGTTAGTCTAGCTTTCTGTTGATATTTGATTGATACATATACATCACCTTAATCTTATAACAAACAACAAGAAGAATGTAGTTCAGCGTCGGTCGTGCTTTGCACTTTGAAATAAAACATTCTTATAACGGAAAATCTTCAGGATATAACTATTGTAATGGAAACTCAGTTTTCTCTTTAGAACGCAATAAATACAAACTTAGTAATCTTGAAACACTAAAATATGGTAAACACTTATAACTTATATATTTTATCAGGGAGATGTGGTTCGCTTCATAAATATAAATTATATAATACGAGATAATAGAGAAAATTACGAACAGCCGTGTCACGTATATAAGTTCATCGCTTCTAAGGAAATCCACATATAAAATGCCGTTCAACCTTTTATTAAATTAGTTAATCACCAAAGGCTCTTTAATTTAAGATTAGTTTAAGTAAAATCGTACTAGTTACATGATACTGTCACGCCTAGAAAGTTCTTTCTTCCTTTCTTATAACTTATAAACCGTCGGCTAGAGTATTGACTTTGTAGCTGCTTATGTGTTCGTCCGTCCTTGTGCTTCTGGATATGGTTAAATAATTGGCACTTCAAGGAGTGTGTTTTCTTCTCCAAGAAAACATAACCACATTGAGACATCAACCACATATAGTTTATAATCAATGATTTTTTTTTTATTTAAAATGTTATAAGTATATCAAAACGCAAAAAGGAATCGTCATTTCAGAGGTTTTCTGTATTAATTATTTACACAGTTTTTAGGTTAAGGATGAAAGGAGTGAAGAGGCAAAGACTTGAGAGAATAAGTTGGAGTTTGATGAAATGATTAAAACACGAATTAGGTTCTATTTAGTTTACCAGGTCATTCTTTTGTTCGTCGTCTTAAAACATATCTTTGATATATATATTACTGAGAAAATTCCTAGTATAGCGTTAACAAAGTTCTTATCACAAATATAGTTTTCAAGTGTCAGAATTTCTTAGTTTTCATTAAAAATAAATAGTTATTTATATTTATAGTATTAATTAATCTAAATTTGGAATTTAGAATTAAGAGGTAGGTTTTAGGGGATGTCTAAGATTTTAAAAATTAAATAATACTTTAACTTGTTTGAAAAAATAAAACGCGTATCAAAACGAATTTTTGAATTTTAAAATAAAAATTTGAAAAAATCATAAAAATCAAATTAAAAATAATTCAGAAACTATATTTTTAATATATATATATATATATATATATATATTTGTAATAGTACAAGAGTCTTTTGGCTCTTCATTGAAATCTGCTTCGATCATTTTCCTCCTTAAAACTTTTTTGATGGAATTTTTTTGTTTATTTTATGGTCATTTGAGGAATTGAACGTTTTTTTATACCATCATTGTGCTTCAGAAAGGCAAGAATCAGTGTGTTGGCTAATACAAGAAGAAGTAGGTTTAATGTCACATTGCCGGTGCCTACATCGTCGTAGTAGTCGGGCCTGGACTAGTTGTTAGTTGCTACTAGATGAATTTTCAATTATTTTAAGTCATACAAAACTAAAACTAACATGACAATATATATTACTTTAACAAACAGTGACTACCTATTTTGTTATTAGTCTTAATTTAGTTTAGAAAGTAGAAAACCAAAATTGGTTAATACTTAATACTAAAGTCCATTCGTGACCAAGAAGATATACTGTAACTTAAATAATATTATTAGAAGGGATTGGAACATGTAAGAATTTTTTTTTAAAAAAAGGTAAGGAAAACAAATGGAACTTAGATTTGGTCGGCATCGTGAAGTCCACGAACTGACGTAGGCACCAGCTCAGTAAACAGGTCGTACCATTCGTAGATTTCTAATTAATTATGCTGAAATAAGAAATAAAATAAGATAGATAAATGACGCAAATAGGATGAGAATGAGATAAGCTGAAAAGGGATGACGAAAGAAAAGAATTTTAAAAGTCTAAACCCAGTAAGTGTCGTACGATGGCAGCAAGTAGCAACGATCTTATGAACCCGTGATCTGCTGATCAATCAGAGCCCCTCAAGTGCTGATAAGTTCCATCTGCTGATAAGTCCTATCTATCTATCATTTGGTACTCAAGATGTTGTAAAAGAAAAATACAAATATTATAAGAAAATCACAAAACCCAATTTTCTGTCGTATATTAATTTTCCATTTTTTTTTGTTTCTTTCGAAATCTTGATTTACTTACAGCAAAATTGAATAAATATTTTATGGTCCAATCGTACTTGAAGGGAAGATGTGATGGTCATTACTCGGTGATATTTTTGTTGATATGACCTGACCCCAAGACGATTTATTTTAGATCAATGTGTTGGAAAGGGTCGTAGTTAATTTTTAGAGTTTATCCATCATTCATTCAATATTTTAGGAAGATAATTTCCCCAAAAAAAGCTGAAAAGAGTTGACATACTAGAATAAAAATAAATAAGTAGAAGTGCTAAAAAACAGATTCCTCAAAGAGATCTACCATTTTGGAAACAGTTACACTAATTTAAATTTCACTTCACCTCATAAAAAATGTAATACAACTTTATTAGAAATGGGTTACTCCTCAGAGGAAATGACAAGAAAATTTTCAATAAAAAGTGGTAACAAACCTTAAGGTAATTGATTTATTTTTTGAAACAAATTTAGTTAATATAATATTATTTTTATATCTAACTCAATGAAATCTTAACAAAGTTAACAGTGTCCACTTATATTTAATATAATATTTTTTCTGTTTTATAATAAGTGTCATTTTAATATTTTTCTTATATAAAAAAGTATCATATTACCATTCTAATGTAAATTATACTTATTTTCAGATGAAAATAAATTAAAAACTACATTGATTTTATAAATAATCTTATTTATCTTAAATACTAATCATAGAAGTATAATTAATAACATCTTATATATATCTCTATCACTTTCTTAATCTATCTAAAAAATGTCTAAGTGACACTTATTCAGAAACAGAGAGAGTATATGAGTTTTGTTCTTTTAGTGATCATACTATATTTTACTCTCCCATCTTTTGGAAGTACGATTTTCAAGATTTTTCTTATTCCACAAAAACAGATTTTTTATATTTTAAAGTATTTTTTGTAGATTTTTAAGAAATATTAAATGAAACTATTTAAATTGATAAAACATCATTGGTTGATTATTACTAGAATTGTATAATTAAGATAAATTATAAATTTATTGTATAACATTCATTGTATTTTAATTTTAACTTATTTTCTCACTGATTCACCACCATATTTTTTTGAAATTGTTTCTGATACGTACTTCCTTGTGTATGAAAAAAACAACGTTACGTACTCCATCTTCATATAGATACATGGATTTTTTTTTTGGTGTAAATGTTAAGTAGATACATGGAATTATATTGTACAAAACTACAAGCCAATATTTGAATAACCCACAGAATTTTTCTGTGTCTGGAATTGGAGGCAAAATGAATTACATATGAATGTACGACGTATACTATTAGCACACGTCGATTCCTCCTTCTTGTTACGTAAAATATAACGGAATATATTGATGTTTCATTTAAGAAAAATAATAGTAATGATGCTTTATTTGAATATCTAAAATACAAAAATCCATTAGCAAACGTGTAAATGAGTTGGCAAAAAAACAGAAGTATCTTGATAAGAATGGAAGTCAATGTATCCAATAAATACGATTAAGACCATTTCAAATTAGCAAAGCATTAAGCATACAATAATTCAAACACCAAAACGGTTATAAAAACAAGACATAATTAGGTGAAAACAAGCCAACATGTACAACCGGCCAAAACAACCAAACCCTATTTTATTTTCTGTTTCTTTTTCGCTGTTTGGTCGTTTTCACGTTTGGCTAAACCAACCAAACAAAGAGATTCAAACGGAAGAAACAAATCAAACCTAAACCCCACATACAAGCAAAAAAAAAACTAATCAAAAACTTGTTTATCCTCACGGATGGCTCAAGCTTTGCCACCACCACTTCTGGTGGTCACCACCGTCGTCCCAGATCCCCCACAGCCGCCGCCGCCACCACCGCCGCAAAAGCCCTACGCTCTGCAATACGTGACTGAACTTCTCAGCCGGATTGGTATCAAAGACACAGACAAAGACGGCAACATAAGCCCACAGAGTCCAAGGAGCCCAAGAAACAATATCCTCATGGGGAAGTACGAGCTAGGGAAACTTCTTGGCCACGGAAGCTTCGCTAAGGTCTATTTAGCCCTAAACATAAAATCCGGCGAAAACGTCGCCATCAAAGTCATCGACAAGGAGAAGATAATGAAGAGCGGCTTGGTCGCTCACATCAAACGAGAGATCTCCATCCTCCGCCGCGTGCGTCACCCTTACATCGTCCACCTCTTCGAAGTCATGGCGACAAAAACCAAGATTTACTTCGTGATGGAGTACGTTCCGGGCGGAGAGCTATTCAACACGGTGGCAAAAGGACGTTTGCCGGAGGACACAGCACGGAGATATTTCCAACAGCTGATATCCTCCGTGTCCTTTTGCCACGATCGCGGTGTTTACCACCGCGACCTTAAGCCAGAGAATCTGCTTTTAGATGCTAAAGGGAACCTTAAAGTCTCTGACTTCGGTCTGAGCGCGGTGGCAGAGCAGCTCCGTCAGGATGGGCTCTGCCACACGTTTTGCGGGACTCCGGCGTATCTTGCGCCGGAGGTTTTGACTAGGAAAGGGTATGATGCGGCGAGAGCTGATCTTTGGTCTTGTGGAGTGATCTTGTTCGTGTTGATGGCTGGTCACATCCCGTTTTACGACAAGAACATAATGGCTATGTACAAGAAGATTTACAAAGGAGAGTTTCGTTGTCCTCGTTGGTTTTCATCTGATCTTGTTCGGTTACTGAATCGGCTTCTCGATACAAATCCGGATACTCGGATCACTATACCTGAGATCATGAAGAGTAGATGGTTCAAGAAAGGATTCAAACATGTGAAATTCTACATAGAAGATGATAAGTTATGTAGAGAAGACGAGGAGGAGGAGGAGGCTGAGGAGTCATGCTCCTCTGGTCGGTCTTCAACGGTTTCGGAGAGTGATGCAGAGTTTGATGTGAAGAGGATTGGTTCAATGCCGAGACCAGCGAGCTTAAACGCGTTTGATATTATATCATTCTCTTCAGGGTTTGATTTATCAGGTTTGTTTGAGGAAGGAGGAGAAGGGAGTAGGTTTTTATCAAGTGCTCCTGTTTCGGAGATCATAGCGAAGCTGGAGGAGATTGCGAGAGTTGTTAGCTTTACGGTGAGGAAGAAGGAGTGGAGTTTGAGGTTAGAAGGGTGTAGAGAAGGAGCAAAGGGACCGTTGACTATTGGAGCTGAGATATTTGAGTTGACGCCTTCTCTTGTGGTGGTGGAGGTGAAGCAGAAAGGAGGAGATAGAGGGGAGTATGAAGAGTTTTGTAATAAGGAGCTTAGGCCGGAGCTGGAGAAACTAATGCATAACCGAGGAGAAGAGAAAGGAAAAGGAGATGTTGTAGTAGAAGAAGAAGCAATGTGTTTGAAGTCTGATACTGTATAGTAAAACAAGGCTGAGAATAAGAATACAAGAAAATTAACAAGATTATTACATTTTTTTGTTACTATACACAGAGTCTATTCATTAGTCTTGTTCTATGTTTATGGTGTGATATTGGGAGGTTACGGAGATCTTTAAGATTCATGTTAATCTAGGACATCTCCGTAATCTCTCAATGTGTGTTTGTTTATGTGTAAGTGTTATTTGTAACGTGAGTGATAGGGAAGATGAGTGAAGGAAAAAGATGCAAAAGAGGAATGAGGTATGAGAGTAATGAGTCGGTTTTTGCTGGTTATTATAGAGCCAGTTTTTTCGTCAGATTGCTCATATAATCTGTATATACATGTAACAACAAGAGACGAGCTTAATGGAAACTCTTTCTCGGCCTTCCCCTATTTAAATGTTTTGTGCATCATAAGCTACAATATTTTCACCATGAGTTTGTCAGACAGTGACATTATCCTTTAGATAAAAAAAAAACAACTGAATGAAGAAAGAAAATAAAAGAGAGAGGTTGTGAATCAAAAAGAAAACTTACAAAGAAGAAATAACTATGCATAAGTTGTTGTCTCCAGGAGCAGACAAGTAGAATCTCTTGTCTTGCCTCTGCATAGACTCTGCTGTTTTCCATATTTCTAGTTTTGGTTTTGTTTTCTCAAGAAAGTGAGAAGAAAATAAGCAAGAGAACAAGTGAGAAATAGAGTTTATCTGCTTAAGCAAAAGATGAGTGATTCTTATTAGGTAAACTAACAAATATTTAAGTTTCCAGTGGAGAGCATTTATGGATAGTTACAATCACGGACTTTCTTTACACCAGTGAAAGAAAATGACTGTCCCAAAATTGCTAATCAAGCTGAAACGCATGTATTCTCAGAAGGTCAAAGCTTCAAGCTTAGTCATTGAAGAGGTGTATGAGCAACCAGTTCCTGCAAAATATGAAGCCAAACACCAAAAAATAAGGTTATAAGTATAGCTAATGCTTATTCTAAGTGTGAAAATATTAGATGCTTACTTCGGAAAATCGGATATGATCTCTGTGCATGTATGAAGTCTTAACAATAGTTTCCCACTTGCTAACATTCCTGGAGTTTCCATGAAGACCCTGCTTTTGAGATGTTACTGAAGGCAGGTTATGCAAAAGCCAAGATTCAGAAGGCTTTTTGGGCGAAGGTGGTGCAAGAGGAGACCGATCATTCCCACTTCTAATACTAATATTTTCCAACTCATCAAGCTCAAGATTGGTGTCTTGTTTCTTCTCTGCTTCCTCGGTGTCCACACATACTGTCTTCTCCACGAGAGAGCTAGTGGAGCCGTTGTCTTTTGCGTAGAGTAATTCCTGAGAGCTACTTATGTTTCTAATATGCTTGTTCAACCTGTTAGCTCTCAGGCTCTCAGTTTCCTTACGAGTGTCAGGCAAACACGTGGGGTGAAACGGAGAAGGGTAGCTTGCAGTGCGAAATGGTGACATGCATCTAGTGTATCTGTAAGGAGATGAAGACCTACTTGCAGAACAAGTTAGGTTTGTTTCAGAGTTGAACTTCTTTCCCATGCTTGGATGAACTGGAGATTGAACTTTACCACTCAACTTTTGCTTCGAAACGGAATCAATAGCCAGCTGAAAAAATGAACAAGAGGTGAAATCATCAGCAAGTCTCTTTATTATTTAACACTGTTTAATTATGCTATTACAAAATCGAAAAAGAAACTAATAAGAGTTTAAAGCTGGAACCTGTTTGACAGATTGGAACCGAGATTTGAGTTGAGAAACCTTGCTTGACTTGACTTGATCCTGGCTTAGGGATGGCTTGTGTTTGGTTTTAAAACCAGGCACTGTGTTCAGCATACCTAGAGATTCTTTAAAGCACAACTGTGGCAACATCCCACAACCTCTCCTTGGAAGATAAGCATACTCAGAAACTTCACCATCTGCATCATCCTCCTCCTCCTCATTGCTTTCTTCATCATCTATGTGTTGGTGGTCATAAAAAGGCAAGACTATAGACTCATCATACCTATTAGAATTTTGCCGCTTCTCCACTGGCACCAAGTCTCTTACCTGTAACGTTGGTTCAGCCATAAAACTAGACGGTTTACGATTCAAAGCATAATGAGACTGCTCCACAGTCATAGCTTTAGCAGCTGGTAAAAAACGGTTCAACATGAAGTCCCGAGATTGAGGATCCTCAGTAGTTTTTAGTGTTTTCTTCTTTTCAGCAACAACACCATATCCACTCACACCGCTAATGCTATGTTTTACAGAGAATGAGTCCTTTGGAGAGAGTGTATCACGAGCATCAGAAAACACATCCTCTGACTCTTCCTCTTCATCAACTTGTTTACCCTTTGAACTCAGGTTTCTAGTAACGGCTTTTCCTGGAGGAAGACATGGTGTGAAGACTTGCTGTGGTGTGGAATCATTTCCTTTTAATCTTCCAGGAGCTTGCTCCCATGTGAAAGGAACAGAAGCAGAGTCGGTGAAGTGATCTAAACCCATCTCTGGGACAAGAACAGAGGAGGAAGAAACATCATTTGTCTTGGAGTCATGAGTGAAGTCAAATGTCTTATTTCTACGGACAGAGACTGCTGATGTCTTCTGCATCCGCCTTGTTGAAAGAAGAGGTGCTTCCAAGTTCAGTTTCCTCTCTGCCATAAGGAAGTTGCTAGGAATGGCTCACAGACTCATTTGTGAAAATGCTTTTAGATTCTATACAACAGATCTGAAAAGATAATATCAAACATAATAATTATTTTTCAGTAATTTGGATTCTATCATGCAAAAATCATATAATTATAATAATCATATATATATATATATATATATAATTTCTTTCTCTATACATTAATGCATATAGGATGATTATCTGAAGAATAATGTAAGCAGCAAACAAAAAGAGAAGAACTCTTCCTGAACTTTTTCTCTACTAGAAACTTCAATTTAATATAATAAAATACTGAAGAATTTTGAGATTTAACATTAAGTATTAAGAATTCTACTGATCATATCTTCAATATAAATTGTACAATCAAGCAAAAGCGAAACTCGTGAAATCGTATAGAAGCTAGAGTGAGAAACGAAAACTAACTTGAGAGTGGCGCAGAGAGAATCGTCTTCAAAAGGTGTTTTTGAATCCTTCTACACGTCGAGAGAAGAAGGGGCTTGATGATGAGTGAGTCTATGAGTAAACGTAAGAGAGAGACAAAGGTAAAGCTCTTTATTACTGTGGAAATGTGCCGTGAAGATGAAGGAGGCGAAGAAGATGGGACTCGTAGAAAAAGTCACGAGGGGACTGGAGCATTTCGAGGTGGGACAGTTACTACCTCTTTAACTCTCTTTTCCCTCGGTAATATACTTCTGTGTATGTGTACATTAATAGAAATGCTATGTCTATTTAATGCAAGTTTTAACCGCTTCGAACCAAACAGACTTTGATTATTATTACAAATTAAATCAAACAAATTGAAAATCGATTAGTTTTGTACTATATGATTATTAACTTTTGTGATTATTATTGTCAAAACTTCCAGTTTCATCTAGTCATTTCATTTCTGTAAAATTTCCAGTCTCATTTTTTGTTTGTTTTCTCACATATAAACCGTTTTCAAGTTACAAAATTATATACACAATTTTGATCATTAGATCTATATACACATTTTGTTTACAGAGTTGTTTTAAACGAATCGGTTACTTTTAATTGAGCAACTATCATCGTATTGTTTTACAATTAAGAGCCTTTTTGCATTTTGTGGAATAAATTAAATTGTGGACCGACCAACATTAAAGAATGATGGAAGCAAAAAAATTTTAAAGACACCAACCAAAGTCCCAATCTATCATATTCAGTTAGTTACTTACTTACTTCTATAATTGTTGGTATATAACATGGTTCAGCCAGTTAAGAATAATAACTCCAAAATGAATAAATAAAAGGTTTTCTGATGAATAAATAAATAAACAAACAAACAAACACCAACTTAATTTACTTAAACTTCAAGGAACAGTATATATTGTACCACGTTTATATTAATAGTGCAAACTTTTCTTAGAAACTTGAGAAAGTTTGATATCTTCTGAAGAAGTAATGTTATAGTACTTTATTATAGAAGTAATGCTATAATATTATGGTACTTTCAAATCATGAAATGCTTTTTTGTTGCACAAAATGAATGACAAAACGTCTAGAGCCATTCTCTAGTTTCTATATTTTTCACCATCAAATTGTTAAAAAATCAATCTGCATTGACTAATTTGATCAGACATAATAATTAAAGTGAATTCAAACAGTAAAAACTATTATCATTATGCAAAAGAATCCCATCCTTTACTGCAATTAACAAATGAATTACTGAACCTTGTATGATTCGTTGATGGGGGTTTTGCGAGGACAAGACATTGTTCACACTGATAGTAAAAAGGTAGTCATAGCGACACCGCATAATGTCACATATAGATCCAAATGTGTTTGATCATGTGGCTTACATTTTTTGTCCAATCGTCCCAATAGATAAGATGGTAACTCGTCCTGCTCGTGCGTAAACCCACATCCCACATTGTTTATAATTGCATCACCAACATTTTTCATTGACCAGATTCCAAATCAGTAAAATTAATTATTCTACAAGAAATTTATCGCATGCTAAACTTACATTTTAAATAAATAACTTTGTATTAAGGTTCCAAATCGGATATTAGATATATATATTCGAAAACATTATGCAAGAAAATCATGTCAACACCTACTACGGTCTGCAAATAAATATGTTCACAGGTAAAGAGAAGATACCACAATCAAAGATAGGGCTGGGCAAATAAACCGAACCCGAAAACCTGAACCGAATCCGACGCGATCAAAATGAATCCAAACCGATCCGAACCCGACATAAATACAAAATAGATCTTGTTTTATGGTATTTCGGGTTATGATTATTATCCGAACCAAACCCGAACCTAAATGAATATCCGATAGAATCCAAAACATTCAAAATATATAAAAAAAAAAGAATTTATACCAAACATGATTTCAATTCCTAATATATATCCAAAATACTTTAAGATATTATTGAATATCTAAAATAATTATTTTTTTACATGAAAGTTGATGGTTGTAAGTGGTGGTTGAAGCTTGAATTTTTTAGTTTTTTGCTTTATTTTCACTCAATAATGTTTTTCATTCTATAAGAACTTGGTTTTCGTTTTATGTTTTTGTTTATTTGGTTTTCTTTTGCAACTTCTTTGCTGGCTACTTCCTCCCTAAGGAAAATTGAGGAAAAAGGGATACCATACACTATTGTCTCTTGCAACTTCATTGCTGGCTACTTCCTCCACGTGACGAGGCCATCATTATGGGTGATGGAACCCCCCAAAGGTAGAGTGAGAAGGTCTTTGTTAGAACTTGATAGTTTCTTGTGTCTGTATACCTTTTTTCTTCTTTTCTTGGTGTGTTAAATTTTGCAGCTGTGTTCAACAAGGAAGAAGACATAGGGACTTACACAATCAAGGCCGTAGATGATCCAAGAACTTTAAACAAGATCTTATACGTTAGGCCACCCATGAACACTTACTCATTCATCGTTCCTGAAGAACAAATCCTCAAACAGATAACAGGTTTTGGTCCTCCTGAAACCTTTCTTCTTCTTCCTCCTGTTTTCTTTATCTGCTAGGTGTCCATTAATGGCGCTAGTGTTTTTTTTTTGTTTACTTTGCAGAAACTTCGCCTCCACTGAACGTGTCACTTTGTCATTGCGTATTCATGAAAGGAGGACAAACAAACTTCGAAATAGACTCTTCTTTTGGTGTAGAAGCTTCTGAGCTTTACCCTGATGTCAACTACACTACCCGTTGATGAAATCCTCGACAACTACGTCTAAAAGGAGCAGTAGCTCCTAACTAAAGTCACTCCATGACACTCTTTCCATTATATTTCTGAATAATTTTGGGTTTCAGTATTTACCTTTCTGCTTCTCCCCTCTAGTATGATATGATGAATCAATTAAACTTAACTTGTTGTCTTATGATGACCAGCTTCGGACCGGTTATATCGTTGTAATAAATTTCTGTGTATATTTTGTTAATGAAACACACCAACTGATTGAAATTTTAGTCCACAATCTGTTAGTGTCTTGCATTGGTATTTTTTTGTTTCTATAATAATGAAGTTTTAAAAAATTCGGAAGTTTCAATCTATACACTGCCCAATAGAGGAAGAGGCAGGTATAGCAAACGTACTAGGCCAGTTTTGGGGGAGAATTCTTCAAAAAGGTTGAGAAATCATATACCTATTGCAACAGAACAATTTTCTACTGCTAATTTTAATTCCATCGTTTTTGTTTTCCCTCTAAATCCTTCCCTTGTAGCTGCAAAGTTTTTCTTTTTGTATATATGTAAATATAGTCCTAAATGATTTTCTAAAAACAAATGTTCTGTACTTTTGCAATGACAAAAGTGGACCACATTCATTCATAAATTTGGTCAGATCAGCCCGCACAAGGGCTGCTGCCATGTGGTGCTTAATCGCCTTTGAAAGAAATGAGCTCATGGTTTATTTATTTTTTTGGTCAAACAATACTTGTAGTACTCAAAGGAGAATAGTTTATCCTTCAAACGAAGGAGGAGAAACAGCCATAGCTAGAGGCGAGAGCAAACTTTGCCACACAATCGGCCTCCACATTGTACAAGCGGGAACAAAGAGAAACAATACAGAGTCCAGAACATGAGCTCATGGTTTATTTGAAAGCTTATAATGTAAGTAAGAAAGTTGAAGAAGAATAAGAGAACTTCGAGAGCGAGCCATGCACTCTTTATATGGATTAAAAAACTATTAATTATTCAATTCAACTTTCACACTCAACTACTAGTCATGGGAAGAAAATGAAATGAAACAGAAATGCTGAGGTGACTTTTAACTTAATAACGGTTTATATTTTTAATACTAATTAGGAGGTTGCCCCTGAATTCGCAGATATAAGTATTGTATGAAAATATATATTATGTATACAGTGTCATAAATTCTGAATAATAATTAGAAATATTAAAAATATAATTTTTAACTTCAAATAATTAGACAATCAGTTGTAAAATTTCCATAAATTTTATGTAAATATAACTGATGAATATTTAGTAATAAAAAATGCTCGTGAAATTATATATGTAATTATCACATTAACTTATCCAACACATATTTATGCATCTTCTTTGGTCTCTTTTTATTTTTTTCGTTATCATTTCATTTTTTTATTAGTTTTTTTGCTAATGTTTTCCTAATTTTTTACATATATTTTTACCAAATATTTATTTATCTCTAAATGGTAATACAAAACATACAATCAATGAACAAAAACTCTATTTTAGAATTATTTTCAATCATAGCATTACTTTATACACTATATTATTTGACTTAAATGTAAAACATTTTTAAAATCAAAGTTCTCACATGATTCATTAAAAATAATCTGTTCAATTTTTAAAGCCTAATTATTTATAAAGCATACATTATAAGGGATTAATAATTATATGGATACGACTATAATTTTATATGAATATCAAATCTTTATATATATTGCTATAAATTATTTTATATTCATTTTCATGTAATATATAAACAGAAAAAATAATTAACCAATATTATTACACTTTCAATAATTTTATAAAGTAGCTACCATTAATTTGATAGAAAAAGTATATACTATAAAGTATACTCTGAAGATTTTAAACTCATTTAATTAGTGAATCCATATAAATGAAGAAGTATTATATATAATTTTTCAAATTTACTATAGGCCATGGACCCATCCAATTTTGGTTTCAATCTAATATGTGTTTTAATTCTTCATACTCTCACAAACTTAATTTTCTGATTTTTGATTCAATCACAAACTGACTCGGTTATGTAAAACTCAATGAAAAGATCCTACTAAAACGTTAAATATACATCAAATTTCACATATAAAACTATCATATAATAAAATTAGAATCATTTGATACATTTTGTTACAACCAAAATAAAATCCGCGCTTCTCAAACGCGGATCAAAATCTAGTATAATTTTTATAATTGTTAGAGTTAGATACTATAAATGAGTATGCATAAGATTATATTTGGAAACTAACATTAATTGGTTCTATGATTGTTTCTTTTAGATTTAATTAAAAAAAATAAAAATTATGGACCAATCAAATTATAACAATTTTCTTAAACTTCACATGATTGACAGATAAACAAAATCAATTAAATGACTTCTCAACTAATATATAGCCTGATCTGCAGCTTCTCTTCGGTTACTAAAATCTATTTTGATTATATTCAGGTGAAAGGTATGGATGTGTTGCCCTTTTCATATCACACATCCAAGTGAACCAAGCAGCAAAACAGAGGCGTAGAACATATGGAAGAATAATCAACCGTATGTTATTTCTTCTTTATGCTAGCTACTCTTTGTTTTCATCTTTTGTTTTCTCCACATTCTGATTCCAATTCATTCCTTTTGCTGCTTACATGTCAAAGCCATGGCACATGTTGAGTTGATTCTTTCAGAAAAGGAAGAGAGCCTGTGAAGTGAAGAGAGAGGTAATCTATCCATCTTAATTCACTTACGTAATCCTTATTTTCACAATCATCACTGATCATTCTTCTCTCCTATACTGCATTGCATTGCAGCCGGAGACTCAGTTGGAAAAAACAAGGGGGCTTTTAGGACGTTAAGACAAGAGCTTAACACAAAGCTACTAACTATCTAACATGATGATAACATGTTAGTATGTTACATAGTTATAATTAGTTTCTTTGAGAGACCTGACCTATATTCATTGATAAAAAAGATAGAAAAAGGACCCTCTGTTTCAGTTCAAGGGCAGATTGTGGTGGGTACTCAGCGGGTACTTGCTTCCTCTCTGCTTTGACAAGTACTCAGCGGCTGACTTTGCCGCCGGATCTTCTACTACTTCACCTCTTCGCTCAGCTCCAGCCACCATGTTCTTCTTGTGCCACAAGAGAATACGCTCACACGCTTCCTCATCTGTCATTACATCCCAAACACCGTCTTCACTCACTAATAATATCAGACAGTCATCTTCTTTAACTCTCTTCACAACCGTCAGGAATGATCGATGGTTTCAAGTATCTCTATCCCCTGTCTCCCGGTTTAGCAACATGCGGAAATATGCAGTTAAAGCCTCCCCCAAAAAAAAAAAAAAAAAACACGATCCAGCTACATAGTAGGCCAATTCCGCAATCAGAGGATCCAGAAACAATAGTACTCTACCTGAACAAACTCTGACTTCCGCAGGTTGAACATGAATTGAGGGAACAATGACAAATATGGATTCAGCGTAAATGAGCAACAGTATTATAAGAAATACAAGCAGATCATAGAGCTAAATGAAGTACTGCAATAAGACAAGAACAGTATAGCAACTATTACTTAATAGTTTTACTGTGAGCCTAACAATTACTAGAAATTCTTGTTTTGAGCTCATATATATATAAGATGCTACAGGGAAGAAGTTTTTGACGTTTTCTCAAGGAAAAGCTGTAATCCACTTCGACTTAGGTTTAATGTAAGTGTTCAGTTGTGTGAAAACTAACTGCATAATGTCACATATGGATCCAAATGTTTTGATCATATGGCTTACATTTTTTTTTGTTCAATCATCCAAATAGATAGATGGTAACTTGTCCTTGGTCGTGCGTAAAGCCACATTTTTATAATTGCATGACTGACCATTTTTCATTGACCAGATTCCAAATTAATCATTCTACACGAAATTAATCGCATTCAAAACTCACATTTTAAAAATAACTCTGTATAAGGTTCCGAATCAGATATATATTCCAAAAAACGTTATGCAAGAAAATCATGTCTACACCTACTACGATCTGAAAATAAAGAGAACACAATCAAAGAGAACATTCAAAGTGAGCCAAAAAAATCTAAAGTCTTTTAACATTAAGCATAAAGACAAGGAACAGAGAAATCAGATCATCAACAGAAACCAAAAAAAAAAAAAGATTTCAGCTCTACTCTTGAGCTTCTGCAGACTCCTTGTCTTCATTGGCTGCAGCCATTAATTCATCAAACTTCTCAGACTTGGCGAGCGTTATCTCAATCTACAAATCGTGAAGCCACATAATTAGCTAGCACTTTCCCAGACGAAAAATAATGGAAAGAATATTGATTTTTTCACAACTTGTTTGAGAAACTATGTACCTTGGGTTTCTGCACAGGGCGACCCCTTGCACCGTCCTTGATATCCACAGTCGAAGTCATGATCCCTATAAGAAGAAACAAGTTCTAAATAAGTAAAACTTAAGTCACTAGAATCTCTTATAACAAACAATATGCTCATTAAAGGTTGAGAAGATCTTCTTACTCTTTTCAACAGCAAAGCCACTGTTCTTCAATATCTCAGCAACGGTAACAACCGTGGCAATGGCTGCACAATTAAATGCTTGATGAGAAACCATAATAATAATCTTCTTTTCAAATAAAGAAAATTTCCAGATAACAAGATAATGAAGATCCACCACAATAAATGATACTTTTGAATTTAATAAAACTCAGTTACATTGATTAAAACCATACATTATATCTTCTTGATACATACACAAAAGATCATAACATTACCCATTCCAAGTGCAGACAACTCGACATCTGTGTACTGTTGGATGTACCTCTGTACAAAAACAAAGACATAAAGAGTAGCTTAACAAGACAGACACCTATTCAAAAATATTACCAAACACAGCAATAACTAATAATGTCTGTAGAAAACAGAAACAATCACATAGATATACAATCACATGAAAAAATCAGATAAATCAATAGATTTCAACCTCTATATGAAATCGATTATGTACCTTGGCGAGATTGACGTAGAAGAACAATGGTTTCTTAGTGTTGGAAACCTGAATCCGATTCTTCCTCTGAGAATCAACCGCCAAACTCATGTTGTTAACTCCTTCCGTGATCCCTTCCATTGCTAAATTAATCTCCAGATGATATAAACACTTCTCCTCTCTCTCTCTCGATTTTATATTTATCTCCCACGATGAAAGAGACGATGAAGTAGTTTCTCTGTAAGAAGTAGTAAGAACCAAACCCCCAAAAAAACCCTAACTCGAACACACACTAAAACGTCGTCGTTTTAACACGACCTCAAATTATTCAAATGGGCCGAGCCCATGGCCCGGTAACAAAATAATAATTTATTTCCGGATGTTATCCGATCAGATAAACTGAATAATTGATTGATTCAACACTCATCGGAGTCCGCAGCAACCATGCCGGTGTTCAAGGCGCCGTTCAACGGCTACTCAGTAAAATTCAGCCCCTTCTACGAATCCCGCCTCGCCGTCGCCACCGCACAAAACTTCGGAATCCTCGGAAACGGCAAGATCCACGTCCTCGAGCTCTCCCCCGGGCCCCCCGGCGTAACCGAATCCGTCTCCTTCGACACCGCCGACGCCGTCTACGACGTCTCCTGGTCCGAATCGCACGAATCCGTCCTCGTCGCCGCCATCGGAGACGGATCCGTCAAGATCTACGACACGTCCCTCCCTCCCCCCTCGAACCCGATCAGATCCTTCCAGGAGCACGCGCGTGAGGTCCACTCCGTGGATTACAACCCCACGCGCCGCGACTCCTTCCTGACCGCCTCGTGGGACGATACCGTTAAGCTCTGGGCCATGGATCGTCCCGCGAGCGTCAGGACCTTCAAGGAGCACGCCTACTGCGTCTACCAAGCGGTTTGGAACCCGAAGCACGGCGATGTTTTCGCCTCTGCTTCGGGGGATTGTACTCTAAGGATATGGGATGTGCGCGAGCCTGGGTCGACTATGATCATCCCTGGTCATGACTTTGAGATACTGTCTTGTGATTGGAACAAATATGATGATTGTGTTTTGGCGACTTCGTCGGTTGATAAGACGATTAAGGTGTGGGATGTGAGGAGTTATAGGGTGCCCGTGGCTGTGCTTAACGGGCATGGCTATGCGGTTAGGAAGGTTAAGTTTTCGCCGCATCGGAGGAGTTTGATTGCTTCTTGCTCTTATGATATGAGTGTGTGTCTGTGGGATTATATGGTGGAAGATGCGTTGGTTGGGAGGTATGATCATCATACTGAGTTTGCTGTTGGGATTGATATGAGTGTTCTTGTTGAGGGGTTGATGGCGAGTACGGGTTGGGATGAGCTTGTTTACGTTTGGCAGCAAGGGATGGATCCAAGAGCGAGTTGAAATTTGAAACACGAGTGTGTGGCTGTGATGATTAAAACAATTGGTTTAGTAATAAAGTTGGGGATCTTTGCATTAAAAAACGATGTAATTGATGGAAATTTCATATATGAAAGAAGGTTTTCTTTTGGAATTTGTGATTGATTATAATGAATGTATGTGTTGATGTAGCTACCATCTCAGTGTCTATGGACTTACTTCATGGATGTGTTGCCATATGTTGTCACTAAATTGTGTACAACTGTTTGAATCAAAACTTGAAATTATTTAAATCTAACCTCATAGTGTTTTTATTTTTAAGTTCGCAACTATTCATAACAATTTAGATTAATTTGGGACATTATGCAAAATGATGCACTAAAGTGTATCATCGCCAAACAGAAAATCAAATCCTTCCTTCATTGACACAGATTCAGCTCGGACATGTGCCATTGAGTTCCTTCTAGACTTAAAAGCGGGACCATTGGAGATTGGGCTTAAATCTGCATCTGATAATTCTTTGGTTGCTACTAGCTGTTTGTCTCATGAAGCTAGGGAAAACATCTGAAGCATGTCTTGATTTGTTCTTCGGTGTCTTTGGAGTAACTTGAATCTATTCTGTTATCTCATCCACTTATGCTTCTTCAGTATCATGAGAGCTTACCAGAGAGTTGCTCAAATGTCTCGTTTAAAGATCTGATCTCTTTTAACGGTATCTCCGCTCTTTCTCTATAGTTTCCATCATATTATGCCAGATTCATCATCATAGTCTCCTTTTTCTCTTGTTCTTCCTACACATCAAAAGAATGTTTAACCCATAAGAAAGTGTTAACACTCTACAAGTGAGTCGACTTGTTATGCAAGTTATTTGATTCCATTACCTTTGATTCATACTGTCCTAAATAGGTGTTCTTTGCTCTCGTTGCGAATTATAGGGAGCATATGGTTTCACACAGATCATCTTCTTTCCGGCTTACGTGAACAAGCATCAATGTCTTTTTAGTCTTACCCTGAAAAATCAGTAACCAAACTTCAAGAACAGAATCCAACATTTCCGTTAAGATCTGAAGCTTTGAAGGAAGTGAATATAGTGAATGGTCTGAAGCTTATATGGCGTATGTTCTCAATCGATCAACACGTATCTTCTTGGCCGTAAAACTTTTTGGGAAGTTAGTGTAGGTCACAAGGGTTCCTGGATGTGGAGGTTACTTTTGTGTTATGTATTTCAAAACTTTGTCGTTAATGTTTTTCCAATCGAAGTAGTCTATATACGTTTTAGTAGCATGTTTATTCATTAAATCAGAATGAAAACAACCAGACTCAAATCATATTATGTTTGTTCATTAGCTAAAACTTTACTCATTAGTTTACTAATAAAATATCTATCTATTGAACTTTTGAATATTCTAAAAATTACAACATATCCAAAAATATTACATAATGTTTTGAGATACATTTGATGAGGATATATTGCTTTAAGTTTCTACTAGATCTTCTATTAAAATGAGGAGTAACCAAGTATATATGTTGATTTTGTTTTTTTTAGAAACTGGATCCAAAGTAAACAAAAACTTTCTCTTGAATATTTTTCAATGAAGAATAAAACTATTATGAAGAACCAATGTTCTAAAATACATAATAAGCACTGCAGCCGCAATAAAAAACGAGTGAAGACTCTTCTTCCGAACAAAAAACGATGCGTTTTCCTCAATCTTCATTTATGCTTTCTAAGTGCGGTCTCCAAACGCCAACGCGTCCCTTTCTCCGTTCTTTTTGAGTCGCGATTTTTTCCGACAATATCTCCGTCAAGTACCGGTCAGAGATCAACAGTGACACATCCTTTTCATAACTTTTATCTTTATCATTATCATCACCACCTTCTTCACGATGGAGACGAGTCTGTGGCCGCTTCTTGACGGTTTTCGCATTACGTTTATCTGATGTAGCTGCGGGCATGAGGAAGTAAATCTTGCCACGTTGGAGCTCAGCTTCGGGAGGGACGATGACGATCTTTGTGGCTGAGATGAGATCACCACGTTCTTGAGCATGATCAGAAGGTGAAGAAGAAGGTTTCTTGAGTACGTGCTTAGGGTGTGCCTTCATTACTTCCCCGGCGGTGATTGTGCCACTGATCTCCTCCACGTGGCCGTTTGAGTGTACGATGCGGATCACGTCGAGAGCTCCACACGGTAGGATGCAGGCGATGCAGCACCTGATTGTCTCCTTCATATCTTCTTTTACTTTTTTAATGAAGAGAAATATATAGTTTAAAGACTCTGGTTCCACAAAAAATGGAGATGAACTTTAGAAAATAAAGACTCTGCTTCTTGGAGAAATCATGAGAGAAAATAGAGATGAACTTTATAAAATGAAGAAAAGAGAGACGTGAGACAAGTGATCTTGAAGAGAGAAGTTTAAATTGTATTTTTTTTTCGTTTTGGTACTCTTTTTGGAGGATTTTTAGACCATGTGTGTTATTATTTATAGTCATGTTTCTTGGTGCGGTTTTTTGAATTGGACATCGTCTTATGACTTATTGTGTGTTTTAAAAATGTTCTAATGTTGTAGTATATCTGTGTGAGTGTGTATTATATACTATATAGTTTCATGGTTTCTGTTAGTTGCTCTTTTTCTGCTGTTTTTCAGCGGCTGAGTGTAGGAATATACGTTGAATAACATTCACTTTTTAATTTATATAGGCATTTCTCGATCTTTAGTTTAATTATTGCCTGAAGTGGCTTGTATTTTACCTAAAAGCTAATGGAAGGTTTTGAAAATTTCATTAGGTGCCATGTTTCATTTTCTTTATGCATACCAACATTGCACCAAAACAGTGTTTAGGGAACTACGAACTGTCATCCGTATAAAATAATCATGAGATAATTAAGTGGGGTTTGTCTTTTTGATTGAGATGGGTGATGATGTATAATGTCTTAAAAGTCCAAAATATAATATTAAAAGTAGAATTTAAAAGCTTGGTATATATTCCTTTAAAAACATTCATTTGAATAGAACATAAACCTTAAGAAAATGTAGATAGAATCATAGGAACAAAACCATAATATAACAAACAAATTAGTAAGGAGAAAAGGAGGTCAAATAACATTAGTATATATGTATAGAAATATAAAAGAATTTGTTTTTCTTTTTCTAAATTGCGAAGAGGGGAACAAAAGAGTGATGGAATGAATAATTGCACCCAACGATCTAATGTGAATTGTTATTGATGAGAAACATCCCATATCGGAAATATAAGAATTAATCTACTACTATATAAAGGGTTGGAGCCAATCCACTAATCACCAATTGGTTTTAAGTTGGAAGCCCATAATAAACCCGAATCTAACATGGTATCAGAGCGATAAGATCCTTTGACCTAATTTACTACAACTACTACTACTATACCGATGTTGGGCCCTCTGTGGATGTTATTCCCACATTGTCCACGCTTCAGACCTAGAGATGTCTGAGCGTGAGGGAGGGTATTGATGAGAAACATCCCATATCGGAAATATAAGAATTAATCTACTACTATATAAAGGGTTGGAGCCAATCCACTAATCACCAATTGGTTTTAAGTTGGAAGCCCATAATAAACCCGAATCTAACAATTGTACATTACCTTTTGGATCCATCGTCTACTACATATGAGGGGACCCCCTCTTCTCGCCATAAAGGTTTCAATTATTTCTTCCTCTCTTCTTTACTATCTATCTTATCTTATAAATTAAATTGTATAATGCACACAGTGTGATTCATCTAGGCTGGGTGCTTATGGGTACACATGTAATAGCATCATTAGGTCTCCATTACATCATCACCACATATTCCACATCACTTTCCACAATTTCACCAAGTTAATTACCCTGGATTTTATTAAGACATCACTCAAGACGTTAGCCAGATATTCGAAATGTATTAGCTTCTCCTCGAATAGACACGGACAGATCAACTACTTAATTATCCTAATCAGGATTTTCTTAGTTGAATCTCGCAAGAAAAGTAGATAAATAATATAATTAATTTATGTCCTATTTATTTATATATATATGCAAATTGTACAAACATGGTCGGCAGGATGCAACCAGTCGGCCTCTTCATAGTTAACTTTATATATATCAATCAATTTGTTTGGGACCTCTTCTTTATTCTAAGATACCATTTGTGTATCATCGGTCTTATATCAACCTTGTTCATTTGTGCATGCGTACACAAAAATAGTAGATTATGCATCATCTTATAATATTCTTAAACTCATGTAAGTTATTTTGCTTTGATACGAATATTATATTGTAATGCAAATTCAGAAATAGTTTATGTAGCTAAAATGATATGTGTGATATCTTTTTTTATCATACAAAATTCATAGCATGTTCGTTTGTTCTTAAATTTATCCAATCAGGATTTATATTATACAGGATTTTCAAGAAAATAATGGTGATACCAGTACGGGTCCAAAGTTTGGACTCCAAACCATATAACAACTATTAGAACAAACTTTTTATCATTGCAATTTGTGTTTTTCCTATTGTCTTTTTTTTACCATAAGTCAATTCAGCAAGAGAAATGGGTTTTCAATATATATCCGGAAGCAAGATCATGTGGGTTTGCTTTCCTTTTGAAAGTGATTTGAGTCATGGACCCCCTCCTTTCTCACTCTACTTTCTTTCTCCCTCTTCCTACACATTTTAGTGTTTGGTAAACTTCTTTTAGCTTCTTTTTGAGCTGATAAGACTGTTTACAAATGTGTTTGATGGCACGAATACGATAACAAAAGTAGACAATATGCACACCAAACTCATACATTATTTAGCTCCTTTCCATTATAAAAATAAATTAGATTAATCTTCACTTACCCCTGCCTAGTATATTAGGACCAAAAACACACCAAGGGCTAATTATATACGCTTTGGAGGAAGCCAGTAAGGGTCTCTGAAAGAAGTAGGTGCACCTTCAGGAGCTTGAAAATGGTGTATTGTTGTATCAGCTAGATTGTAAATACCAAAACCATGGCCTATAAAATAAATTGAATTAGGCTTCAGACCGGAACAAGAACTAGCCTCGACGCAAAAACCCTCACTCATTGAAATAAATATGCACACATCTCCAATGTCCTCTGTGTAATGCATGTATCTTCCTTCCGTCATCTTCTTCTCTCTAAACACCATGAACCTCCTTGTCATGTAGCTACTTCCTTCATGACTCGACGAGAAGAAGCGCTGTGCGTACCTGCGTGCACACAAAGCAAAACAATATAAGACACTGAAAAATACATGAAAACATTATAATAACTAAAGTTACAAAAAAACATTATAGTAACTAGACTGTATATATATATTATATATAATATAATGTTCAAGAAATCGCTAGGCGGTAATCACGCAGACTTGTTTTGCTATCTGTTAATAGAAAAAGTGTTTCGGTTATGACTATAATATACCATTTGACAAGAAAACGTTCACCACTTGAGGCTAACTCAACAAGGTGTTCAGTCCTGCAACACCAACCCAAAAGCTTCCACTCAGAATCATCCAACTCAGGAAGGTCACGGAACATCAACTCATGGAAGCTAGGGACTTTGTTCTTCTTCAAATGAAGATCCCATGAATACAACGAGTTTCCTCCAGGACCAGGCAAGTAGAATCTACGCTCTCTCTTGGAATACATAAGAGTCGAATTCTCCAGCTTCTGCAAGTTATTCTCAGCAAGAATCTCACCGACATTAGTCCAACGCATGTCACAATGTGGTCTACATACACTAAGCTGTCTATCCAAAAGCTTTATGGTCACAACACAGTCTTGGTCGTTAGGAGAAGACGACATGGCCACGTTCCAGATGGCGTTTGTTTGGTTCGAGTGTACAGCGACTAGTGAAGGCAGAGGAAGCGTTGTGAGCGTTGACTTGGGACCCAAGGAAGTGTAAAGGTCGCTGATAGATAGTGAACGGTCATGGTCGTTAGAGAATATTCCCCATCCACGTGCACTTCCTATCTGTCTTGAGTCAACGAGTTCTTCAGGGAATGTTATGTTGGGAACTGTGAGCATCTCTTCTTTGGTCGGATCAAACAAGAGGACATCTCTGACGTCACTACCGTCTGGGAGATTATTCTTTAACGTGGTGCCGAGTAATAAATATGGAGTGGTTACGGAAGATGAAAACAAACGAAAGGGTCTCTTGTGTATCTGCAAAAATCAATTAAAGTTTCATCCTTTATATTAGATACAAGGAGAACAGAACACAAGAGTGAGAAAGGAAGAGAAGCTTTACGAGGGCATGGTTTGAAGGAGAGAGTTTGAAGAGTCCGATGAAACTCCGAGACATTGGCAAAGGATATAACAGTGGAGCTCTAAATTAGGTGAATTGAAAGGGAAGTGATTGGCTTGAGGAAGGAGTTGCAGATGAGGTGCTCGACGATATGTCTCACCGAACTAAGAAGACCAAGATATGTCAAAAGTCAAAACACCTTTCAAGAAGGGTTGACAATAATTTATTTTCATTTTAACCCCCACTAGTTTTATGTTACTACCGAATAAGCCTTCGTTTTTGAAAAATAAGAAGTGTGCCCCCTATAACACTCGGTGACAAATAAAATTGTCCAAATCCTAAATTTATGTGTTTTTGTAAGATTAAATTTTTGGAAAATTGTTATTTAAATCACGAAATTTGAAATCTGGTTAAAAAGACATGAATTTTATTGTAGACCACTTAAAGTTTCTATTTATCTTGACTAGTTATCTAAGACCTTAATTATTTTTGACTAAGTCAATTTGAACACATCTTTAGTTTGGTTAATAGATAGACCAGGTTAATCTCTGTTACAGTCTCAATTATAATCTCTGTTAAACAGAAAACAACGTCGTATTGAAAATAAAAAACCTCCAAATTACTTCTTTTCAAAATTGAAATTCCTAATTCTCAGAAAATTAAAAACAAATTATATTCACAATTTTATCTCGATTTTATGATAATTTCATCTTCAGAAATATAATATGGAGAAGAAAATCGTAGGTTCCCAAAGAAGTGTAAGTAAGGAATTATGGATTATGTGTAAAGTCTTATTTATACAAGAAAATCTAGGAAGATTTTTTTTTATCCTTGTATAAGCCAAAAAAAGATCTTAGGATCCCTTTATTTTTTATCATCTTGCACAATTTGAAGATAAAATGCCCGATTTTGATTTCCTGCTAATTAAGGAATTTGATTTGGGGAATAAGGGATTTGGGTCTATTTATTTTAGAAACGACATTGTTTTGTATTTAACAGAGATGTTAACGGAGATTAATCTCGACTAATCAATTTGTTAACCGAATTAACGATGTGTTTAAATTGGTTTAGTCAAAATTAGTTGAGGCCTTAAATGACTAGTCATGATAGATGAAGTCTTTAAATGATCCACTAAAAAGACTTTTACCAACCAAATTTAAAAATTCATTATCTAAATGACAATTTTCCTTAAATTTTTAAAAATTTATTTGTTGTTTTAAATGAGAAATCTTTGTATATACCATTAGTACTAGGTGATTTTCCCGTGCTCATGCACGGACATGTATATTTATAAAATAAATATATAATAATAATTAATTGATATTTACTTTAATTTTTAAATTAATTTATAGTTTGTATGTCTAATTTATATTATAATATTATATTACTTTAATTATATATATAATTTTAGATATGTTATATTTAGTTTGTTTTATTGTTTTTATGGTCGATTTAGTTATCATTTAGATATATTGGATTCTATCTATTTCTCTGAATTCAACTATTATTTTTTATATTTTAAATATATTAAATTTTTGATTAGTTGTCTTATTTGCATTTATGTTGGTTGTTATCTTAGAAATATAAATATATTTAATAAGATTATATATAACTTAAGATTTTTTGTGTTTAAAAGGAAATAAAAAACAAAAACTAAAGTTTCTGATTCTAAAATACATACATAAGTAACTAATGAATTTTTACAAGATTTTGAACACATATCAATATTTACAATAATTAAAAGATTTTATAAATTCTAAATAAATTTATGCGTTAGATTGTTTGGATGGTAAACTGAAATTTATTTTAAATAATTTTAAAAATAAGGATTCTGATTTTCTTAAGTATTTGACTATGGTTATATTAAGTTTCACAAACATAAAAACAGAAAATTAAAAATTAAAAGATCTATAAGAAAACAGATAATTTTAACTATTAAAATATAATACATCTACCTCGCTAAATTATATAGTGTTATGGTATTTTAAAATAATTGTAGTTTTTTTTTGGTCAGCAACATACACAGACTCTAAACAGACTCTGCAAACTAAACTGGTAACTCATCATCCATATGAACAGTATAGGACGGCTGTTTCCGAGCATTACGTGCTAGTTTCTCGGTCTTGGTATTGAGCGTTCTTGGGATATGAATTATCTCTGAATGAGTGAAACTTCCTCGGAGGATCGCTATATCGTTCAAATAATTTGCAAATGTTGGCCATTCCCATGGTGCAGAAACCATCTTCACTACTTGGATGCAGTCCGTAGCGAACGTAACATGAAATTGACGCAGATTCCTCATATTTTTTATGGCCCAGATAAGAGCCTCTATCTCTGTGTGGAGTGGTGATAGACTTCTCCTTGTATTCCTTGCTCCCATTAAACTCCTAAACCCCGGAAAGATACTGCACCAACCCTGACCCGAGAATTTATCCTGCTCCATCCAAGACCCATCTGTAAAGCACCACCTACCAGGTAGTTGAGGTAAAGTGGCTTCCCCAAGCTCCAGTACATGCTGAATACTTTGTTTCATTGTTTCCTGAGCTTCCTTCCATAATAGAGATTCAGTCTCTACCAGCCGCAAAGTATCATTGGGATCCACATTAATATTACTGAAAAATTTATTATTTCTTGTCTTCCAAATATACCATAAAATCCAAGCAAACTAATTGTAGGTATTTTATGTTTTTATGTTTGTGAAACTTAATATAACCATAATCAAAATACTTAAGTAAATTAGAATCCTTATTCTTAGAACAGATAATTTTAACTATTAAAATATAATATATATACCTCATTAAATTATACAGTGTTATGATATTTTAAAATAATTGTAGTTACTTGATCAAAAGATGTTTATCATTAACTTTATTTTTAGTTTTATTTTTAGTATCTCTTAAAATAGTCAGTAAAAAGTGATTATTTTTGAGAAATTATACTATATAAGTGAAATAGAATTTATATATTTACTGTAATTGTAAGATATTATAGTCAAATAAATATACTAAAAATTAATTTCAATACTACTAATTATAAAAAATGTCAGTTAAACATATATCCGTTTATGTTAGTTGATTATTTTATGTAATCATCTAATAAAATAGATAGATATATACAAAAATAATTATTTTGAATATATATATATATATATATATATATTTTTTATTGTTTAAAATTATTTTTTTAAGGAAAAAAATATTTCTTTTTCTAATAGCAATATTTTTGTGTGAAATTATTTTATGAAATCACACTATATACAGATATTTTTTTTATCTAAGAAGATTTAGATATAAAGTATTTTATTACTTCAAAGGTATAGTTTATGTTATTTAAAATATATTTAAATTAGTTATTACTATTTTGTGAACTTTCCTTTTTTATTAAACCATAATACTTATATTTTCGTTTTTAAATAGTTTTGTAAATTTTATAAATATTTCCTTTTTATTTTATATTGTTATTTGGAAATTTGTAAAAAGGAAATAATTTATTAGGGGTATCATATTAATCAACCAGCGTGAGAGTTAACGTGAACACGACACCTAAGAAAGTGACTTCTCAAATAATATTATAGAGATTCACGTATAATCAAATTATGCCTCACTTCAACAAAATTACCTTGTAAAAATACTATAAGCACAATTCTTAATTTATTTATTCAAAAAGTCCATTATGTTGTCATAAACAACTTTTCTTTTCTACGTCATATCAATTCTCAAACAAACAATTAACTACAGCTTTTTCCTTTCTTTATAAAAAAAACTCTGGATCCATAATATTAATGTTTGTGTAAAAATTACATTACGAAGAAACCTTTTTTAAGGTCTGAACCAGGAAATATTATGATAATTTCTAAAATCATCTTAATATACAAGCTACAGTAGGCTTATATATTAACCAAAACCCAACACTTTCTGCTGGCTAGAAGATTAAGACAGTATATAATTATGTAAGAGACTATTTATTCAAAATTTCATATAATCATTTACTCATTTAAATTATATTATCTAGTTACTTGAAATAAATATTTATTCAGTATGATTGTTCATTTAAAACTTATATTCACTCCTTGACTTCGTTTCTATTTTATTCGTATCAATTAAGTTTTCTAAGTTTGTATAATGACATTAACTATTTTACTAATTCGTGGATCTCATCACTTTTTTGAAGACGAATAATAATCCACGGTTTCATACTAAGAGAACAGTGTTAAAATGTAGCTGAAGAGCCAGTCTATATATAATAACTTGGACGATTTTTTTTTTTTTGAATTGTTTGTACAATAAATGGAGAAATTCATGTTACTATAGATAGTATATTATTATATCATATTGGAAAATATAATATAATGTGTATGTGCATCTCACTCACTCATTGGATATTTCTCCTTGACATGTACAACTAGTTCAACAACTCTATTTATTGACAAAAATACAAAATTCCCATCTAAATAAACCACAAATTTTGAGGCAACATTTATTTGACATTGACATTCTCTCAAGAGTCCAAGTCTATGATAAATGCATGATAGACCCTTTTATGATGCTTAAAATAATGGCTCTCTCATCACACCAAAGTCAGAGTTATATATTCTGGCTTAATAAACCCTTTATGATTTTGCTAAAAAATCCAACATTAGTTTTTAGTGTAATCATTGTTAAAGGATTGAATCCAGAATAAGATGTTGGTGAAAGCCACATTGCAATCCATCATGGTCTCATGAATCGTGCCAACCAATAAGAATTACTTTGAACAACTCAATTAATTGATAAAAAGTCCTACCTCGTAATTAACACACAGAATCTGAGGGCAGTTCCGTCTTCTTACCTCCCAAAGACCAAAAGTACAGCAACTACATGAAATGTAAGAGAATGGCTTGTGGTCTTGGCAATGTCTTGTCTCTCCCTCTCTCTGTCTCCAAAACTTCCCTCTCTGTTTTGTGTAATCTCTCACCCACCAGAAACTCATAAACAAATCATTAATCTCTTTTTCTCCAAAACCCATCTCTCAGTCTTGACCCATTTGATTCACAGAGCTTTGTTGATGCTTTAGACCCCAACAGTTTCTCTCCGTCTACATAAAGACTGCGTCTTTATTCTTTGATTTACAGAGCAAAAAAAAAGAGAATGCAGCTTTCTAGGTTTGGGGTAAGGACAGTGTACGGTATGGGCCAAGTCGAGCTCTATGAAAATGTCGATCACGAAGACCCTGAGGCGATTCTCAATGGTGTTTCAGTCTCTGGACTTATTGGGGTCTTGCGTCAGCTTGGTGATCTCGCTGAGTTAGTATTTGACCTCAATCTCTGTTTTTTCTTTTTTTCTTTTGGGTGTCTTACTGTTGAATGATTCTTTGAGCTAATGGTGAAGTTTAAGACAAGAAGAGAATCATCACTTTTTGCATGAAAGTTATTTCCTTTATACAAGTTTAAGGCTTCTTGTGATTTAGGATTCCCCCAAAAAGAAGAAAGTAGCTTTTTTTTTTTCATTTGTCTTCACCATAGGCTTGTGAATAGCTAAACTCATGTGGTGACTCTTGATGTTGCAGAAAGGAAGAAACTTTCTGCAACATCAAGCATGGAGAGCCACATAAGCCTGCAGAAAGGAAGAAGCTTTGTTAAAGGTTTTTGCTTCTTTTTTCTCTTTGATTCAGGTCTGCAGCAGAGATATTCCAAGGCATACAAGAGGAAGTTATGGCCACAGCTTCAAGAAGCAATCAGTTGAAGATGAGGTTGCAGCATATAGAAGCTACAGTGCCTCCACTAGAAAAGGCGGTGCTTTCACAGACAACTCATTTACATTTTGCATACACAGGAGGTTTTTTTTTGTCTTGTGCTATCTTGTCTTGACCCATGGTGTCTGATTCTTGCTAGATTTTCTCATTAATTTTATTTGATCTCCTAGTTCCTTGTAGGCCCAGTTTCACTTACCCTTATACTATATTACCCTGGGGATAATTAGTTGAGAATGAATTTTTAAATTGAGTTATGTTAGAGTAGATAGATATGAGATTGAAATGTCAGTAGTGGTTAGTGAATCCCGTTGTCTTGATATGAAATGTCTTCTAGTATGATTAGTTTTGGTTTTAGTCTTACTAGTTTTCTTGTCGTTATCAGGTGTGGAGTGGCATCCTCGTATCCTAAATGAGCAAAATCATTTTATACACGACGACTTGCCTGACTCTTTTATGGATCCGTATGAAGAGTGCAGGGATCCTCCACGGTTGCACTTACTTGATAAGTATGTCACTTGCAAGCTAAAACTATCTTTATGTGTTATATGTATATGTATGTACCATCATGTTAACTTGAAACTTTATGCTTTATTTCCTCAGGTTTGATATAAATGGTCCTGGATCTTGCTTGAAGCGATACTCAGATCCTACTTACTTCAAAAGATCATCAAGCAACCTGATTAAAGGAAACAATAAGTTCCAAAACAATAACAAGAGTTGTATAATTAAGGTGTGGTTTTCTCAGATCATATTGGTAAACTTTTTTTCTTTTTTACTTGAAAGTTATATTTGTTGTTTTGTGACATGAACAGAAGAAAAAATCTTCGTTAAGGAGTCGAGATATGTCACGTCTGGCTTCAATGGCTAACCAGAATGCGAGGTAAAGTAGAGACTGTATTGGCATTGTTAAGTTTGTTTATTGCATATATTAACATGGAATGTATTTCAGGAAGACACTTACTTCATTTAGCTTAAGTAGACAAACCTCTTCTTCTAAAACTGCATCAACCAGTGACATGGATAAAAGATCTGATGTGCAAGATCATCATTCTCCTTCTTTTGATTCCAGAAGTGGTTCAGGATACATAGAATGCCTTTCAACGGAAACCTCTTCACTTAATACTGGAGAAAAACCGAAAAGGGAGTTTGTTTCATCCAGCTTGACGCCTGGCTCTTGCACCATTGCTTCAGTTCTTTCTGAATGTGAAACCGAAGATGGAAAAGATAGTTTCCAGCTTAGTCCATTGCAAGGAAAAGCTGCTGTTGGCTCTTCTTGCGTTAGTTGGGATGAGAAAGCAGAGATAGTGGAACCTCTTAGTGTGCAGACAGATGAAGCTTCTGAAATGATGGAGAAGAACTCTGTTGTGGATGGAGTAGATGAGAAAGTAGTCTATGGAGAAGACACTGGTAGAGTTGAAAATGTTAAATCCGAACCAGAACTACAACAAAGTACAGGGATTGATGAGGTAAGGGAGATAAAATCTGGTTCAGAGAATGTAAGAGAACCGAGGGATAGTGAACATGAGACTGAAAGCGAAGGGGAGTCTTTTGTTGATGCGCTTAATAGTATTGAATCAGAATCTGAAAATGATCAAAATCTCAAAACTAGTCAACAAGCAGTGAGCAGTTCCTGTGGTGTTACAGGGGAGATGTTGGAAAAATCTGTGTGTGAGCAAGAACTAGAGCAGAGTTCCAACAGTTTAGAAGAGTCTTGTAGATCGATGGACAACGGTTCTGTAAATGCAACTGATGAAATGAGTCATCAAGATCCACAGGAGAGTACTGATACATGCCGTTCACTGCCCAATGATCTTTGTACAAGTAACAGCTTATCTGATTCATCGAACCCCTGGTATCATAGTGAACATCAAAAGTCAGAAGCTAAAGTTTCTCGTGAAGTTGAAGCCATTAAAATATGGACTAATGGGGGTCTACTGGGACTGAACCCATCAAAACCTTCAGTCTTGGAAGTGCCAAGTTCTTTGAGTTCTGCAGAAGCTGAAAAAGATAAATCAGATGATCTAGTTGAACATGCTTCACATAAACCTGTTCTGGATACTTCAAGCTTAGCAACTCAAAATCTAACTGTAGAGCAGAGAGAGTGTCATGAGACTTCTTACGGTGTCTTTGGTGGACTCAGCCAAAAGCTATTCACTAATAGTTTCCGTAGAAGAGATTCATTGTCTCATGATAGACAAGCTTTACCACCAACCATTCCAGAGAACAATGATGTAACAACAGAGAAGGAAACATCGATGGTTCGCTTCAGAGAGGAAGCTCCTATTGATTGGTTTGCATCGTCCCCACCTCTTCAACACATGAGAATATCTCTCAATCCCGTTGACACCCTTCAGGCTTCAAGGCTGAAGCTGAAATTTTCAGATGAGGACAACAACATTAATACATTTCCTTCCTTTCAGTTGCTTCCAGAGGCTGCTACTACTTCCCTTGTTGATTCTTGTTCAGATGACGACACTTTTTGTAGATCCTCTCCTTGCACGTCAGACATCGATTATCTTAGCGATTATCACTCCTTGTCAAACTCTGAGCAGTGGGAAGAAGCCAGTGACAGCCATGAAAGACAGGAGAAAGAGCTAGATGATTCTTTCCATGGAAGTAGGCATGTTGATTACAATGGCGAAGCTTCTTCTCTAGACACTGAAGCAGAAAATGGTTGTGTGGCCTTAAACTTCTCATACCTCCAGAATCCTGTTGAGCCTTTACCACCTCCATTTCCACCTGTGCAATGGATGGTTTCTAAAACAGCCTCAGAAACAATATCTGACAACAAAACAACGCAGTCTCTACAAGTACAAGACGCTCTCAGGTTTGCCTTTGATAAGCATACTTCATCCTCTATAGTCAACAAAGAAGATCCTAACACTGTGACCTCTGCTCCTAAACCAGAAATTAAGGTACAGAGAAGTTTTCTAAGTACTTTGTGGGTCAGTTCCAAATTCCAAGAATCATCTTAGATAGTATTTCAAATTACGATGTTAACAATCATATGTTTTGATAGGTCCACGTCAAGAATAATGTCAGGGAGGACAAACAAAATGCTAAAGAAAAAGAGAGTGAAGCTGGAGACTTCTTGGAACAAATCAGAACACAAGTGAGTGCAATGGACTCTTTTTGTGAAAAATAGTTATATTCTGCTTCTTGATGCATTTTAATAAAATCTCTGGCTACATTCTTGCAAATTGCAAAAAACAGCATGTCAACCTGAGACCTGTGGTTATGACAACGACTTTACCTGCTGCTGCTGCAACAACTGACCCTGCAATAAACATTAAGATCAGCGCCATGTTGGAGAAAGCAAACTCTATACGCCAGGTTCATCCCAAACCAAATCTAATATTTGCTTCAGAATCTCAAGTACTCTTTTGTTCTGATTCCAAACACATGCTTACTCTGACACTCACTTTCTCTCTCTCTCTCTTTTCCTTTTCAGGCTGTAGCTAGCAACGATGGAGATGAAAGTGATACATGGAGCGATACGTAAAGGCCCTTTTCATCAACGATTCCTATTCATCTTTGTAATTTACTTTCTGCACGCATTTTTTTAATTTATATCATAACTAATGTGTGGATTCTGTAGTTGATACGTAAATTTTGTCGTAGCGTGATATGTATCTTCAAGAAAATAATGTAGTTCAATACATAAATTTATATAAAATAAAATGCAAGTTATTATGCTCATTCATCTTGAGGAAAACACTCTGCAACTTATGATCATTTCAACCAACCTTGATAAGTGAGAGTACAAAGCAGTTTAACACATCAACCAGTTTAGGCATCATGGTGAGCCTTTAATGAGGATAAGTTCTCTATATTTCCAGTTACGAATAAGAAGCATATGTTCTCAGAAGTCTATTCAATGAATATTGTCAGAGAGGAGACCAGAACTGGAGACTTCTTGCATCAAATCCGAACATAAGCCAGTGCAATCGATTCTCTTAAAAGGAAAATATATATTCTTGATGTGTTATATTAGGCCTGGCTATCCGGGTCCTCGGGTCGCGTTCGGGTCGGGTTCTGTCGAGTCCGGGTCTTTCGGGTCTTGAAAATTTAAACCCATATGAGTACCTATGATTTTTCCGGGTCGGTTCTGGGTCGGGTCTTGCCGGGTCCGGGTTGGTTCAGGTCTATAATTCCAATACCTGTAAAATATCCGTAATTTTCGGATCCATATCGTGTCCGGATCGGGTCCGGGTATTTAGAATCTAAAAAATAACATGCCCAAACTCACTCAAATTCAGTCAATATTTTTCATATATATCTAAAATTTTATAAAATAACTTAAATAAAACTACTAATAATTAAAGAAAACATTTTTAAACTCTAAATTTTACATTTTAAAACTTTATATTACTTAAAAATATTACAACTAATAATAAATATTGTTAACAAAAGATATTTCAACTAAATTATAAAATAGTATAGATATATAAAACATAACACAAAATAATAGTTTTGGATATACATGTTTATAAGTCGGGTACAAATCGGTTCTTATCGGGTCGGATCTATTCGGGTCGGTTCTTTTCGGGTCCGGATCTATTCGGGTCGCTTCTTTTCGGGTCCGGGTCTATTCGGGTAAAAGAAATTTAGACCCAATAGGTACTTGTAAATTTTTGGATCGGATTCGGGTCGGGTATTTTCGGGTCGATTCCGGTTCGGGTCTTCGGGTCCAGGTAAAATGCCCAGGCCTATAGCATAAACATCAACTCAAGCTGAGACATGTGGTTGCCATAACGATGGCCCAACTAGGCTACTACCATAAACACTAAGATCACTTTTGTTTCGGAGAATAGCAAACTATATACGTTATGTCCTTTAGTCTCCTAGTTTTATCGAAAGTATATCTGATATTTTATTGAGATTCCTATATTCTTTTCTCTAAAAATTACTCCATAAATGACAACCGTAGCTTGCGGGAGACAACCTATATTAGGGTTTAATCTTGTTATGCACGCAATTTTCATAGTATGGAATCTTATGCATGTGTGTATTGTGTAGCAGATAAGTAGATTTTGTCGTACGTTATATATGTCTTCAATAAAATGAAATCTAAAAGATAGGCTTGTGTCCTTGTTTTTTTTTTCTGTTAAAGAGTAACGTGTATTTTGTAAAAAAAATAAAAATTTCTTTCAATCTTTGTACTGAATACTCTCAGCTTTGTGTGATTGTGTCAGCTGTGCTATTGATTCTGGAAGCAATCGAAATCATAAAGGTCGAAAGAGAAAATAGTATATATATATAATTTTTTCTTAAAAATTAATAAATGGTGTTGCTTACAAAAACTTTTAAAGAAGCATCAAAAAGTGAGTTGGCAAGTAGAAGGGACTTCGAAGAAGATAATGTCTTCTTCAAGACCATTAGTCCGTGAACTTCGCTTACATGCTGTGTTCTCTAATTACTTTCTTATTTTTTTTTTTAACAATAATTACTTTCTTATTATCCGCCACTTGAATCGAAAAATTAAATAATAGTAGAGATTTTGTTCTTGTGTGTACTGTATATTAGTTTCTTGTTAGCTAACCATTTTATCTACAATTCTTAATGCCTGTCTCGCATTTAATCAACATCGAATATTAAATCTTAGACATTTGCTTATGGACATGTGACGGGAACTTGATATTTATTTTATCTTAAGGAACGATATTCATCTGGTTTTGTTTATTTGGACTATGTCTACAAAACTAGTTGATAGAAATATACAACGTAACTGTGTCTACAAACCCCTTTTGTTGGTGTTGAAAGTGCATGTTTAATGATTGATCAAGAAACTAGTACCTTACGTATTAGGTCTTTGAGTGTAATCCATCCTATGAAAAAAGCAGCAGACCAAGGTTCTTAAAATACAAATTATCATACAAATTGAATAAGTTAAGCAAATAGCCCTATATATATTGTATGAAAGCATTTTGCGAAACCTGAATATCTTTTTTTACTAAGAAACCCGAATATATGTATGAAAAACATTTTGGAAAAGTGATAGGTTTTTATTTTCTCTCAAGATATCACACCCAGAGCCATGCTTCTTTTATTTATGGAAAAAGAAACTTTGTCTTAGGACATCACTTTAAAACATAAAATTTAATAGCATGTAAATTTAATTAATTACTAATTTTAACCAAAAAAAAAATCAATGTAGGCTTAAATTTAAGAAGATCGCCAAAAGCTAAAATATTGGTCATAAACTCATAATTAAAGAAAAAATAAAAAATAAAATAAAAAACAAAAAAAAACTCATAATTTTAAAAAAGTTTATTAATCCGTTATTAGTTTACTATGAAAATAATAATAAAATAATTAATTATCTTTTGAAATTATTTTACAAAAAAACAAATTAGGGCATAAAAACATAACAGTAGTGTCGACTTACTATCTTATTTTTTAATGCAGAAATTTTCAGAAATTGATTTTTTTTTATTGACAAATCTTTTTATCTAATGTTTTTTTTCACAAATCATTATAGTCAAGTTAATATCTTTTTTCAATTATTTTGTATTTACTTCAATAGTTTTACTTACGTAAATAATTATCATAATCTTATATATCGATAGATACATATCAAATACATCTGTCAAAAAGAATTTAAAAATAAAACTAGAAAAATCTTATATTGGTTCACGTATGTCTCACGAAAATAAGTGATTCGGTTATCTTATCACTTATAGAATATTGATATTGATTTTGAAAATCTAGTGAATAAATTTGTAGAAAATAAATGTAAAAAATACTTTTGTTTGTTGTTTTCTTGTAACAATGATATTTCTAAGACATTTTTATGAATAGGGGAGGGGGGGGGGGCATAGATTCTTTGCACGGCTCTGATCACATCTCAAGGTTGAATAATTCTCCTCAAAATGTAATCGTATCTGCATCTCGTTCTCCGAAATGGAAAACACAACCTTTAGACTTAATTCACTTGTTAAAAAGAAATTAAACAATTCCTCCATTTCTTCCTCTTTTTCTTTAAAATAAAATAAACAATTCCTCCATCTCTTCCTCTTTTTCTTTAGCTTTTAAATTCTTAATCGAAAATAAAGCTCTCGCATGCATGTACCCTCAAGGAAAGTGCACATTTTCCCAATAAAACTAAACATGTAAAAAGTTTAGCTTAGTAATTCATTCCACTTTATCTAGCAATAGGTAAACATTATTAATTCTTTGGATGTCTCTTTAAAACTGTGGAATATGGAACCATCTAATCTATTAAAACAGAGTCATTCTTTTTATCTACTGATACAAGTTGTCATTTAAATTTGGACCCTTTATAGAATGTTACAAATAATATAAGTTATATAATTGATTGTAAAGAAAAGCAACACAATTAATGTAAAGAAACGACCTTAATGTAAACTACCTTCAAAATATGACAGATATCTATATGTATACCGAAAACACATTCCTACAAATATGGAATATTCTAAAAGAATATATATCATCAAAATATGAAATATGGAAATCTACTAATTATACTTAAATTAAACCAGTGGTTATTTATGGAATATAGTCTTGGGCTTACTTTTATTTTCTGAACAAGTTATATAGTTTGGTTTTTGGGCTTAGTATTAAGAAAAAAACTCTAAACACATTGAATAAACTTTTCACATTAAAAGATCAAAAAATCAATTATTATTTCCAGACCCAGAAAGGTATTTAATATTTTTAACAAAACGAAATTATCTATTATTAATTATTTATTTAAATCATGTACTTTAAAACATTTAATATATTTTTTTATTTTAAATAACAATCACTTTTTGATAAATTTCAATGGTAACTTTTAAATAACTTATTGTTTTATTTTTCTTAAATAATTTACTGATTAAAAAAATGTAAAGTAAAACCAAAAACCAAATCTAAAAACTAAAATCCAAAACCAAAAGCTGAAAACACATGTTATATATTTTTTGCTTTGTTTATTAACAAAATAAACTATTTCAATTTTTTTTAAAAAAATTTGTTGTCATCTTTTCAGTTTTGAATTAGAGGTTCGATTATTTGAGATTTGTTTGTTGGTAATATTAGTTCAAACTAACTCAGCGGGTTTAAAAATTAAAAACCCAAACCAAAAACTGAAAATGAAAAGTAGAAACTTAAAAACTAAGAACCAAAAATCAAAATCTAAAAATAAAAACTGAAACTAAAAACAAATGAAAAATAATCATCACCACAAATTTTGGTGAACTGATTTTATATCAAAATATTCTTTAAACTAAGACAAAACCCAATTATATAAATTTTTAATCATAAAAAATTTCCGCGCTTTTAAGCGCGGGTCAAAATGTAGTTAGTATTAAAATTTGGAACCCTTAGAAAGAAAATGCTTATCATCAGTATCGAACATGTTCTCCTCATAAGCCTATAATGTATATAATTACTTTCAAAACCGTGAACATAAGATTATAGAACTAATTTACATTATGAGCACGACCATGTGGAAAAAATAAATATAACTTGATCCTCTCATTTGTTTTGAAATACGGCTAGTTCAAGTATATCAGAGCCTTGTCCGAAAAGTTGGGATATAGATGGATAATTGATCATTTGTCATTTTATTCTAACAAGATCAATAAAGTACGAGTCAAATCTCTATAATAGACATTAAAGTGAGAAAATAATTAATAATTCTCGTTCTTTATTCATTTCATTAATTTTAAATCACTTTATTAAAGATAGGATTAAAGAACAAACCCCATACAAAAGATTTTGCTTTTCTTTAAAAAGAGAGCTTTTTATAAAGTGAATTTTCCGAACCCAAAAGAAATACTAATAAAAATATTAAGATTTAAAAGGGAAAAAGAAAATGGGCAACGACCAGAGATTAGTCACCTAATTCACTGAAACCCCAAGAAACGAAGGGTAAAAATTGGCTTAAGAAAAGATAACCTACCTTTACAAGTTACAACTAATTATGTATGATTATATAATACACACGCATACATATAGTTTTTGCAGAACATGACTAACCTTCCTTTGTTTTTAAAATGCACATTTGTCTAGGAAATCTAGCACGCAATGTAATATGTATTGATATCCATGGAACATGCATGTGATCAAATTTTTTTTGAATGAAGAACAACACTAAATCGTATAAATTATACGTGTACAATCGTATAAATTATATGTGTACAATATAAGTTTTCTTACAAAAGTGTAACGGTTTTTACAAATTGGATACAATTATGCTTTGTGTAACTGTCTCTCAATTTCGAGCTGACTATGAACTGAAATTTAATCACCTTGAGAGGAGTTGCCCAAAAAAAAATCACCTTGAGACTTGAGAGGATTATGAATACAAGTTGCAAAACTAGCTCAATGAACGAATATATATATATATATTCACACAAATATTGCAGTTAAAAAAACACACACACACACAAATATATATATTTGAGCACATTTATTCTCTTTTGAATAAGTCTATTAGCTTTTTCTTTAATTTAATATTTATATCCAACTTAAAAGCTGATCCCTTTTAAAAGGACTTAAAAGATGTTCTTTTCTGCGACTATGTAGTATAAAGGTTTTTTGGGGAGTAGAATTAGCATAAAAGAAAAGAGAAACATGAACATCGATCAGTGCTCTTTTTTTCTTTTCTTTTTCTCTTCTTTTGTTTTCTCCCTCTCATCTTTATCACTTTCTTTTACATTATGTAACGAACGAGAATTACGTATAATCATTTTAATAAATTATGTTTTAGAAACATGCTTTGCTGTTTGACCAAAAAAAAAGAAACTTGCTTTGCTAAACTCTGTTTATATCTAAAACTAATTTACTTTATTTTCCAACTCAATATCTACTCAACCGTTATATTAATCGATCAAACAAAACTGCACAAACTATATTAGTACAATTTTTCAATAGAACTTACTTATAAGAAGAGATATAGATGGTTCCTTTTTTGGGTTGAAACTCCTTCAAATATCAAAATATCAAAATCTTACACTAGAACTTACCTTTAGTTATATTCAAAAAAAAACTTACCTTTAGTTACCTATAAGAAGGGGTATCTTTCATTTGATGAAACAATTCAAGTCAGATGTTATAACAATCACGAATCGAACCCTTCTGATATACAAACTATAAAAAATTTAGTCAGCAAAAACAAGAAGGAATGGATGATGCTTCTGCAAATTTAAAGAGAATGGTCTAATACCTACTGAGACTATTGTGTTTTGAATTAGTAACATTTGTTTTGTGGCGCCAGAAAAAACCCCATCCTGCATATCTCATTCATTGGTAGTGACTAAAGATAGTTAAAAATAGTGAAATATTTAATTCGCATAAATCTCGACAAAAGTCATCAAAAAGATAAAAAGCATTATTCCAGCAAAAACAAATACAATTTGGGAGAAAAGAAAAGGAATACACACATTTTATTTTGAATGCACTAAGTACATAAGTGTGTGCCTACCATATTCTTTCTACATTTATTCCCCCTACTAACCTTCTTGCATATGGGCATTTGAGTTCTGTTCAAATCTATTAGGGTTTTGAGTTTTTAGAGTTTAAGATTTAAAGTATGTTTAGGTATTTATAATTATTTGGGTTTAGTTAAGATTTTTGTAAGTATATATATAATCTTCAAAATTTTAAAATAAAATTAATATATAACATATTAATTTGAATAATGTATGACCATAATATGAAAATTGGTTCATTTTGGATATTTGAATGGAAAAGTTAGTATGTATTTTAAATATTTGGGGATTTGAATATCTTTTGCTATTTCAGTTATTTATTTTTGGTTATTTGGCTTACTTAAAAAAATCAAGTGTTTTAGATAATTTTCAATATTTTTAGGTATTATGTCTAAAAATATATAATATATTTAAGTAAATAATAATTCAAGTATTTTCAAATAGTCTAAATATTTTGGTTTGAATTGAATTTAGTTCCAATTTTCAGGATATTAATTATTTGAATTTATGCAAATATTTTACAAGCTTTAATTCAGGTTTCATGATTTTTTTTTCTGATTGAACTCGGTTTAATATTTTAGATCTGGTTATTTTGCCTGATCCTACTTTTGATTTTCTCTCCTTTCCTACGAAAAGGATATAATAATTCATAAATCTTTTAAGAAAAGAAAAAAGAAATGAAAATCAAAATCTTCTCCTATAAACTATAAACGTCTCTTCTCTCTTTCATCACTGCAAATCACAACTCTCCTTTTCACTCTCTCTTCTCATTTTCAATGGCGACCCAAGATTCCCAAGGTATCAAACTCTTTGGCAAAACCATATCATTCAACGCCAGCAATATCACTACAACGACCATTAAACAAGAAGTGCAGCAACAACAGCCACAGCTACAACTACAAGCAACAACAGGCGTTAGATCATCATCATCATCATCATCATCGGATCTAACGGTGGAGAAGCGTCCAGACAAGATCATAGCATGTCCTAGATGCAAGAGCATGGAGACTAAGTTCTGTTACTTCAATAATTACAACGTTAAACAACCAAGACACTTCTGCAAAGGTTGCCAGCGTTACTGGACCGCCGGTGGAGCTCTCCGGAATGTTCCCGTCGGCGCCGGTCGTCGGAAAGCCAAACCTCCGGGCCGTGTCGGTGGATTCGCCGAGTTTCTTGGGGCTGCGACTGGAGCGGTTGATCAGGTCGAGATTGACGCTTTGCTGGTGGAAGAGTGGCGAGCAGCTGCATCACACAGTAGTTTCCGACATGAGTTTCCGGTGAAGAGACTCCGTTGTTAGTTGTTACACCGATATGGTCAATCTTGTTAATTATTTTTAAAGAACGTGGTTAAATTTGCTTTGATTTGCTTACTGGATACGTACAGGCTAGCATCAAAATTTAACTAGTTGATTAATTAAACTAATTAATTAATTAGGAGGTTTAATACTTACTTATCTACTGAACAGCTGTCATTTTCTTCAATTTCTCTTGTTGAATCTTCTGCTGTAAATGCTCGTGGGATTTTTCTTCTATAAAGAATTCAGAGTCGTTGACCATTAGTTAGCCCTTGATTAAAACTACTAATTATTTCAAGATCTGTATACAATAAGATCAGATTAACTACGATAAGTGTAACCTATTTTATGTAGCTTACTTTGCGTCGTTTGAGTGTACGTAAAGTTAATCAAAGATTTTGGACATTTGTCTTAACTATAACTTTTAAGTTTAACCAAGTAACCTCGTTCAATTGGGCATTTAAGTTTTCACTTTTCAAGCTACAAACAATATCACACTTATCGTAGATCTACACAAATAGTATATATAAATAGTATATTTACTGTGAATGAAGAAAAAAATGAACCAAAGTGGGACATGCTAAATGTTGTATTTCTTATACGCCCACTGGTGATTATAAAACAAAAGAAGTAAATGCATTCTAAAAAATAGCACAAATTTAATACAATTTTTTAGAATAGTGAAAATAAGCCCACTGGTGATTATAAAACAAAAGAAGTAAATGCGTTCTAAAAAATAGCACAAATGTAATACTACAAATTTTTAGAATAGTGAAAACATTAACTTCAAAAAAAAAATATTCATAAATCTTAAGAAAAACAATTATTATTTATAAATCAAAATCAAACTATTAAGAGCATTTGTGGGTTTTAAGGATGCTCTAACTCATCACTCCACAACCAAACTAGTTAACAACCGAGTATCGCCATCCCCAAAGAAACTTGACATATTCAAGAACTTGTTAGTTTCATAGTTCTCGAGGAACAAACTTAAAGTCGAATCACAAAGCTGAAAGAATATGACAAAAGAGACAGCATAATCAAGACTTGTGTGCAAATCATCTCCTGCTTTGGTAAAAGAAATGGTTGTGCCTCCTAATGAACTGAGTTCTAGGTTGGTCAGAATTTTATAAATGCACAGCTGGAAAAAATAAATGAAACTTTTTGGACAAAGGGTACACAAAGACACAAAGTTTGACTTGTGAGGTTGAAAACGTTTGAGAAGTATCAGTTTCTTCGAGTGCAAATGTTTTGTAAACTGCAACAACCAAAATGTAACATAAAGCGAAATGAGCCAATGGGAACAATCCAAACAGTTTAGATTTAGTTTCTCCGAGTCCAAACGATATCTAAAAACCGGAAAAGGAACAAAGAAAGATAGAATGCGATTCAGACGACCAACTAGCTCACTCAGGACATGATCTTGGCAGACCGGACATAAAGGCTGTCAACAACCTTCCCCATGTTTGCAATGGTATCAAGAGTAGCCGAGTAGATAGCATCCGCCTTCGGATCTTCGAATATAATAAGACATCCAGCTCCTTGATCCAACGTACCTGCAAATTTCTTGTCAAGAATCATCTGAGACAGCTTCTTCTCCACATGATCCACCGGTAACCCAATCAGCTCAGCGATATGAGCTATCTCAACTCGTGAGAAAGGCTCAATCAAACGACACAAGTTTTGCTCCAGAAGCGTGTCATAGAGAGAAGAGAGATGCCTGTGTACAATCGGGTCATCCTCAAGCTGCGCCTTGTAGTCACGGAGAGCGTTCTCAAACAGTTTCAACGACCTCTTTGAGTGTGCATCAGCTACTGCCTTCATAGCATCAAGATCAGGGCCAACGTAACTGAGTCCAGCCTTTGATGAGATTATTCCTGCAACATCATCAGCTTGGCTAACCATGATCTTACACAACAACATGTACTTCAAACTGAAAACCGCTCTTGGATCTCCCAGAGCGTTGAATGACTCAAATGCTTCAAAGAAGTAACTGTAACCCGTTTTGTAATCCTTCTCCTCAGCATGAAGAATCCCACTCTGGAGATCTATGGTTCCCTGTTGAGCAGGTGGGACATAGATAGCGTTTGCAGCCGTTCTAGCTGCGGTGAGTGCAGCTTTCGCCTTTGGTAAGTTCCTCAACGAGAAGTGAAGTTTACTCTCCAGCAAGTCAATGTCAACAAGAAGGAGCTTATCATCTAACCTCCTAACCTCTTTCACCAAAGTACTCAACAGCGCCAACGCTTCAACATACTCCTTGTTCTCCATCAAAAGAGCAGCAAGCCTCGCTTCCACTCGCTGCCTGAGAAAAGTCCTCTTCTCAGCGCGTGTCCACTCCACCATCTCTTTGCAAAGAGTGATCTGAAGATCAGTCGTCCCCGGTATCTTCGCCACGGCGTCAATGATCCCTCTGACGATTTTCGCCGTCTTCGCCTTGGGGATTAACGAAAAGAACGGTCTTAGTTTGGTTAACAGTGTCCGGAGATCCTCACCTCTCTTCTCCTCAGTGAGACGATCACAGAGGTTAGCGATGGCTTGCTCCTTGATCCGTATAGCCTCTGGAGATGAAGAAGGGTCTTCTAAGACCTGGTACAGTATCTGAATAGCCTCCGAGCTATTGGCTTCTTGAGCCAGGGAGATCGTCTCTGTTGTAGCGGGATACGAAACCATTGTTGAAGTTTTATGCAAAACTCAAAACACCTACAACATAAGAACCATAGATGCGTTTACACAATGTCTTAAAAAATCTCATTAATGTTTTTTTGTAAATACAATAACAAGAACAGTAACCTAACAATAACAAGATCCATCAAAGACAAGTTAAATCAGTGAGCACTAATCTATTACAAAGCATATTTAACTTTATGTGATAATATTGTCTCCAAAGATCTAATATTCATTTCTGAATCAAGTATGGTTACTTCGTACTAACTAGTTTAAGATGTAAGCTTAGAACATAATCGAGCTAAGCCACGAACTAGATGTACACTAAATCGAACAAAGATAAACCCTAGAAGCGATCGATAGAGGGAAAAAGATTTGATTTCAGACCCAGAACTAATTAGATCTGATAAGCAAACCCACAAGAATAGATAGGGGAAAGAAACTCACTTTTGAATCGGCGTCTGTGGGGTAAAGCCTTCGACGACGGTGAAAGACGAACGTCTAGAAGATATCTCTGTCTTGATTGAGAAGATAAAAGGTAAAGTTTTTTTTTTTTTTTTTTTTGTCGGCAAAGGTAAAGTTAGTTTCGTAGTTTTGAAATTTAGTGGAGGGTATAATTGTCATTTAGTTTGATCAAAAACAAGGATTGCACGCTTGAAAATATTCGGCGGCTCAAACTTTAGCGTTTGGGATGAAGAGAAGAAAGTAACCAACGCCAGACGTTATTTAGGACGAAAGTGACTAGATTTTGCGTTTTCTCACAGGGTTTTTCTCTACAAGTCGTGCAAACGCGTGTTGTTAAAACGCATGAGATGGAATTGCGAGAACCAAGGTTCAAGTCCACTAGCTCAGACTGAAAGCCCATTTTCTTACAAAACTGATGCCGTTTGTTTTGTTTCTATAGATTTTTTTTTTTTTTGAAAAATTTAAATTTTATTCAACCCAAAATGGACATTCAGATCCGATTACAAACCCGATTTGAACAAAACTTTCAATGTATTACAAAATTAGTTTCGCCCATCCACTAAACCCGGCACATTCCGCTAGTATGTTTTTAAAATTCTCAACCATCAACGATAATCATGGAAACGTGAAGTTCTCCTTGTTGCCTCGGATGCCGAGAATCTCCATATCGTCTTTAGAGTAACTAGTGCCCGATAAACTCCTCAAAGCTTATAATTATCACCGTCGTTGACGCGCTAGACGAACATAAAGACATACCTTGCTCTTACCAAGAGAAGTCCGTCTCCAAACTCGCCACGAACCAAACATGAAAACCAGGTTGAGCTCAACGCCACAGCCTGCCAAGTTAGTCTCATGAACATGTAAAGAAAGTCAAGCTACACTGTCACATAGCACCAAAGAACCAAAACGACACTGGGATGTGCGCTTTGACAAATTGTTGACCCAAGACTGATGGATCGCTTACAATGCTGTTAGATATCAGACTCCGGAGTCAATCGGATTTGGAAACAAATCTACGCCTTGAGACTTTGCTCCGGTGAGAAGGTTGTCACCTTCAAAACACGGAGTACTAGACAGGATGCCGTGAAGGAGCAATCAGAAGTGAAGTGGAGCAACAAAAGGTCATCGAGAAGCCATAGACGACTGTCTGTCACGACCACCAGCTACATCCACACGAACCAGAGCTGAAGAAGCTCCCGAAGAACCGGATACCATCTCCGCCTGCGTATCACGGGTCTAAAGCACGTCTCGGAAGTGAGAAACTCCCAAAGCTCACTTGAAATCGAGCGGAAGGAATGGGATTCGCCGACACTTTAGGACGACTGTTTCTATAGTTTATTTCAGTAATAGTCCTTCAGGACCTTTATTGTAATCTTTTTAACCTCAAATTTTTGAAGTAATAATTATGAGTCGATACTTAAGGGATCATTAACCTCTGTTTCTTAACCGGAATTCTTTACTCATTATTTGACTTTTATTTTTTGTTTTTGTTTACACTTTTCGACTAAACGACGACTCTTATATCTCTTGTTTAAAAAACGGTTCTTAGATTTTCGTAGTTAAAATTTTTAAAAAATTAGAATCGTCTCTTATCCGAAGCTAAGAACCCAAGTTAAAAAACTAGGGTTATTGATGGTCTAATAATAGAAACAGACATGATCATATACATATATTCAAATCATTGAACTCCAAAACTAAGATATTGGAACTTGGAAGGCAAGCAAATCATTCTTTAAAAAAAAAGAACACAAGGTATCAAACAAAAGAAAAATACCGTTAGTTCAGCAAAAACTCAGACGACAACATGTAAAAGAAAATATTTTATATAAGATGTTTAAAAACAGGAGTTATCAAAAATTTAAAAAGTTGAGAGATCAGTGTATATAATAAAGCTTAGAAGATGACGTCAGGGACGATTCCGAGCTCCTTAAAAACTTGAGGACAATCAGCAAGAGGAGTCTTCCTCATGAACCCAAGTGGGTTAATGGTTCGAACCTCGTGCGAGACAATGCCATCATTCGCCGTAAGACTGATCCTGGCTGCGTTTCTTAGGAACTCTTGGTTGTTCACTTCGCTACACTCTGCGTCCGGTGATTGGACGAGGATGATCTCACACACTTCCTCTTCGTGGTCTCCCATGACTTCCATCTCATAGTTTCCTTCTTTGTCGGTCACAGCTTCTTTGCTCAGTGTTACTGTCTGGTTCTCACGGCCCTTGCACTCAAGCTTTACCTTTGCCCCTGAAACACACACACACACAACGACGTAAGGCTTTGTATAAACTTAATGTTGTGTTTAATGTTTTTTTTTATAAATGTAGAGTGAGTTAAAATGATGAAAAATATAGATAAGAAATGGAAACTGTAATGGATGTTATTATAGATTCAATAACGCAAAAATCACGATAAGTTTTTTGTTAAAATAAGAAGTTAGACTAAAAATGTACAAAGCAAAAGGTTTGATTTATTTTGTATAACCAAAATATGTTCGTAGTGATTGTATCATATGACTAATCCATATAAGAATTTGATTAGAGAGTGTTCTTAATTACCTTCGAGGACTTTACTGAGACGGGTAGCGAACTGGACACGGCAGGTATCACAGTAGACGGAACCTTTGATGTGAAACTTGTCGAAGTCGTCGGCATCAGCGGCGGCGAAGTGAAGAAGGGTGGTGAAACATAGGGCAGAGACAAGGAATACGATGAAGAATTTGGCCATTGTTAGTCTTGTGTCTTCTCCTCTCTTACTTTTGGGGACTTTTTATTTTGGAATATTAGTTGTTGTGGGTGAAAACAAAAAAAAAAATTGTAAGTTTGGTTGAGAGGAGATGCTATGATAGATCCAACCAAAACTATCTCCTTTTATAGAGAACAAATGGACAAAAACAACAGAAACATGTGATCTTACATCTATTTTTGGAAGTGCTTTGTCTATTTTTTGGTTTTTTGTGGTTCTTGAGTTTTGTACGGATGTCTTCTTTGAACCCGATTTTTTCTCCTTACCATTACTATTAATGGATGCAATTAGTTTTTCTTTATGTGGACTTATCTTGAAATGTCAAAGATAAAATAATGAAAACAGGGAAAGTGAGCATTCAAGAACTTTGAAAAGAAAAAAAAACTATGAAGCTTGAAATGATATGTAATTTTGAATTGTAAAACAAAAAACATGTAGTTTGTCTATACCATTTTTGAAGTGTTGTATCATTCACCAAGCTAATACAAGAAAAATAATGTACAGATGAATTGTGAAAAAAAGTAAGACTGAACGTTGACCAATCTCCCAACTGTATAGTAAAAAACACAAAAATGGATCATAGAAAAAGCAACCGGGAATCAACATCAACCGGTTAAACACACTCGACGACTTTACACAGTCTATAAGCTGGCAGTGAAGAACGTGGACGTCTCTTGCTGTTTTATGCTATCTGCAACATGTGCAACAACTCCAGCTCCTGCTTTATAGAGTCTTTCACTTTTCACCTGAACAAAAACCCAAATCTCTAATATTAGTTCATGTATTTGAAACAATAAAACAGCTTCAAAGTGAAGATGTTGGAAAGAGTACGTGAATGTTGTTATGAGCTAAGTAAGGCCAGAAGGTGGAGTGGAAGCTGACATCCACTTTCTTCCACCCTAAAGTCTGCAGGCCACGGATCATCTCATCTGCAAATTTTACCAAACTGTTACTTTCTTGCTGATTTAGGGGTAAAAGTTGGCTTTTTTTCTCTTACCTTCTACTATTTCATGATACTCAAGTGTGTTCTGAGGACTAGGGGAGCTTTGTGCGGCTTCCTTGGCTTTAGCAGCTTCTGGAGGGAAATGGGCTCCATCTGAGGAAACAGGAGGGCAGTATTCTACATCAACAACATGCTTGTATCCATCTAGAGATCGCCGTGGAGGCTGCAGTGTAACATAAAAACAGGGGAACACACATATCTATCAAATCTCAGTAAATAGTTCTCAAACTGGTATCTGACTAGTTACAAGCCACATAGAGCTTCTTGAGGAAGAGAATACCTACCAACCATGTCTAAGATATTTGAGACAATGAACTGCATCTTAATGAATCTCTACAGAAAAATGTTCCTTTTCAAGATTTTTTTAACAGTACAGCTGTTGTGACCCTGATATAGACTACTAAGAACCGGTAACGAGATCTTAACCTCAGAGAGAAATTTGTTTTCTTTTACTCAGGAACTACAATGGGTTGAGCTAGAGTGGACGGTACAAAGGTTCTTAAAGTTTCCTGTATGATCAGTCTCATAATTCTGAAAAGTCACGTTCTTGCTTCAGATTAAATAAAACGTACCTTGAAAAGTTCAGTTTCTCTCCTTATGGAAGATGTACGCCAACCAACCATGTCTAGTTAATGTCAAAGGAAAACAAATGCAGATAAAACTAGAAAAACATGTCTGAACAAGTTAAACAGCAACAAAAATGCACAGGATACGGTCATAAGATACGTTTGCATACACGATGCGGCTTCGGAACGACCCCAAGGAAGATCTGCAAGAAGAGCAAATACATGAGGATCTCAAAGTACGTCAGCATGGGGAAAAGTGACTCAAAATTGCAAAGAGGCATATTTACTCACAAGAATTTCAGATCTTCACAATCAGATGCCATTCTCAAAAGAAGTGGTGGTTTATCAGCTTTACCATCAGTAAGAAACAACTGGCTACCAGTCCGACCAACAACGAATGGAGCTAATGGTGCAGCAAGTCTTTCTAAAATAGGAACTCCCAACAAGAAAGGCAGCTGAGACACAAGAGATTCCAGAAAAGGAGGAGATAATGAGACTGAGTTTCTAGGACACTATGAAAATTATGATACCTTTCTAAACTAAGCATCCTCTGTAGGTACTTCTATATATATACAGAGCTCTCTGATTACAGTTATGATAAGAGGAAATGAATAGAACCTGCTTTCTGCCTCTGACTCCTAGATGAGGTGTTGCCAAGGTGATGAAATTAATCGGTTCGAGGCCAGCAATCATACCTCGCAGAATATGTGAATTCCCAGAGTTAGAGACAGCGGCACCATCACTGACTTGTTGTGATATTGGTGCTGAGTAAAGAACGGCAACAGCATGCCTGGCAAATAATCCACCGAGGGAATGTGCTAAGAAGGATATCTTCTTTAAGCTCTTGCTCTTTTGGACAACTTGTCTAACCTATTCCTCTCTCACGTCAGGAATGAAAGATAGATATCAGCTGATATACTGAAGCTAAGGGCTAGAAAACATTACAAGAAAATTAAAAACTCACCTCTTCTGCTAGTCGTTTTCCAGCTCCATCGATCCCGCCAAAGGTTTTAGTGAAGGTATTGGAAGAGCTTGCTGTGCATGTTCAGGGGAGGAAGAGTTAACAAAAAGCATTATGTGTGATACATAGAAGAACACGAGTTGAATTATAAAATACAAAACTAAAGAACATAAAGAAAAACTAGTTGTGTTCTCAGAGAAACATAATCTATCTTTTGCCTCTTGCTGATAAATATGATATAAGAGTTTGAAGAAGCCTTTGCAATTATGTGCTCAGCGCATGCATTTAAAGTTAAAGTAAACATTCCATTAGCAGAAACTCTCTTCCATACATAGTCTCAACAACTGCTAAACTAACAGAGGATATAACAAGATGAAACCAAGAAAGCATATACCATAGATCAAAAATCTTCTTCCAAGGCGTGTCTTCATCTCAGCTTCTACATAGAGCCAGTCGCTAGGACTGCGAGTAATGGTACTCTTAGTAAAAAAATTAGAGTCCATAAATTATTAAATCTGAAAACAGAGTAGTACAAACGACAAAACACAAAATTTCATATTCAACACTTCCAAGCTTCTATCCCAACCTGAAAGAGAGGCATCTATAATACAAAAACCATGTGAGTTTATCATACCTGGCCAAGATACCATGTACAAGGACAAGAAGGTGATCAGGTTCAATTTTCTCATCGTTGTCACCTTTAGATAACGAAAAATTACGTTGTGCTGTGGCACTCATTGCTTGAACTCTTAGTCCCCGCTGGTTCCACCTTCTGTTATTAGACCCTGTTTGTAGAGAGAGATCAAACAAAAGAAGAATATTAAAACTATTAGAAACAAATATAATTATTTTTCTTGGCTTTTTTTTCACAATCATTGAACATCTTGGAGTTTTTCTTTAAAACAAGTCAAGAATCATGTATAGCACTAATATTTATTCAACATAATACTACTCTTCCTGACTATTTGATTGATCTATAGATTCGAGACTAATCTACATCTTTGGCCAAGATCAATTCCAAGAATCAAGATCCACCAATTATACAACACAACACATGAAGGAAGAAAAACAATTACCTAAATCGAAATTCAAAATCTCGGAATAACCACAAGAGCACGACGAAGAAGAAACTAAAACGACGCCGGGAAACTGCCTTGCTCTGCTAAAGCTTGGCTTAGCGAAACCACCACCACGACGATCTGGTGAGAGTCTACAAGGAGGCTGAATCCAAGTAGCCGTAGACATTGAGCTTCTTTTATATATATATGAAGAGAAGACAAAAAAGGAAAAAAAAAACAGAGAAAGATCCTTGAATCGCGGGTTTCAGAGTGACGTCAGCTTCATAACCATATCACGTCTCTACGTTATCTTCTCAATCACTGAGTCCCATGCTCTCTATCTCTGGTTTTTATTTTACCGATTTAGCCAAAAATAATCATCGACTGGGAAATGATATGGTTTTTTTTATTGTTAATTAAAATAATTTCGGCTGCTGTTGTTAAGCGACTAAAGCAGTACTTTATAATATAAAATAAAAACACACAGAATATTTTATTGGACTAGAAAACGAAATACGAAAGTGGAACGGTATATGATTATTTTGGAGTTTTATACTGTGATTATTCAAAGGTTTAAAATCGGACCAGGTTCTCTCCTCATCAATGGTGGTCTAACTCAATACTTTTTTTTAAAAGGACTAATGTCAAGCTTGAATAATTACACGTGAAAACAAACATATATTTTCAGTAATGTCAACTTCGAGAACTTTTCTTTAGCAAAGATATATGTCACTATTATTAATTTAAATCAATAAGGCTCAGAGGGTGATTGGTTGGGTTGTAAATAATGACTTTAGATTTAATTTCTATCTACAACCTTTTAAATCACCAATCATGCTTTAAGTAGATTTTAAAGCTAAAGTCAAAAAATTGGAAAAGTGGTTGTAGGAACCTTATTTTCTAAAGCAAAAAATTATTGCTTTAGGATTGTTGTAGGAATATCTTTCCTTTTATATTTTTTTTCATTTAATTTCTACAGCTACATTAGATACAACTACATCAAAAACATCTACAGTCTAAATTCTACAGTAAAATTTTTAAATCTACAGTTCAACCAATCACCCCCAGAATCAAAAATGTTGTCATGTGGTTTTCACTTTTGAGTTAGAAATAAGGTATTTGAAATCGAGGACACTTGCGTCTGTAATCCGTACAAATAAAAGGTTGTTGACTTCTCCTCGAGAAGGCGTTAAAACATCATGTGTAGTGCGAATTGGTTTCTATTTCTAAGTTACCCCCGTAGGTTACATGTTTGTTTTTCCATAATTTTGTCTACTATATGTACGTTTAGATTCGTTCGGTGGGATTAATAATATATAATGGAGGGAGTAGGGTTATATACAAAAAATATAATTATATCCTGATAACGTTTTCTTTACCAAAAAGAAAAAGAAAGATGATAACATTTTAAAAGCATTTGCCAGTTTGCAAAGGTTTAGAGGCTTGTCATGTGATTTGGATGCTAATTAGCATCCCGCTACCGACACCACACCACAGTACCACGCCACAATAAAGTTTATGTTGGTAAAAATAATTGAAGGTTTTAGAGCTCTCCAGTTCTAGTGTTTTTTTGGATCGTCCATTGTCGCCTGGAGCAAGAACTTGAGAGATGAAAGAGATAATCAAAGTGACAATCTTGTCACATATGCATAACAAACGTATCTAGAAACTCTGAACACATGACATAGTGTTATTGTTACAGTAAGTATATAATTTGAGAATAGGTAGCTAGCTTCTGTCATGATTATTTAGTGGTTTTGGGCTTGAAGGTCAGCTCTCGATTAAGCTGAAACTAAACGAAGCAATTTACTATAGCGCAATGTGGATGATATGACCGAATCAAGAATACATAAAAGAGAGAGGTAAAAGCAGAAGATAGCTCACCGACTCATGTTTTCTCATTGTATCTTCTGGCGAGAAAAAAAGCATATCAAACAAAGATTACAGATAGAGAGAAACAACATTCAAGCACGTTTCCCACTGCTAGGGTTGGACTTAGGGCAGAGATTCCAACGACCCTTGGCACGTCGGCGCTTGATGGTCGCCCTACCACTAGTGGTTCTCATCCTCAAACGAAAACCATGAGTCCTAGCCAGAGATTTCCTTGACCTGCTCCTCTTTGTTTGACACAGAGCAGCTTTTCCAGCTCTCACCACAAGCCCTCTTCGTTTCTGGCTATTCAGACCACTGGTTCCACTGCTGAGATCAAACGCAATGGACAAACCTGAAAAAGACAGCGAAACAAAACACGAAACATTATTATTATAGGTCTGGGAGACAAGTTTATGTAAGAGCATGTTTATTGAAGATCCCTTAAGCTGGTTCTCTTAGTGTAAAAGCTAAGGGACCGTACACTAGACCCAGCTTAAGGGACATTCAATAAACATGCTCTAGTGTTTCTTTCAAACAACTCGTGTACAAAAACATACTATTCAATACTTAATTTGTTAAGTGAGAGGTTCACAAGAGAGATCTAAACCCCAAAATCGATTTACCCATTTCTCAATTCCCAAAATGACCCCCACATGTGAATCCAGAGAAGACGCTAACACCTAAAATTGATGCCCATTACAACACTAACAGCTAAACAGAACAAAAATAAAATTGAAGAAAACTAACCAGAAAATTTAGACGACAGGGAAAGAGATGAGGAGAGAAACGAGCAATGGAGCAGCTGAGAAGAAGCGGAAGTGGAAGAGCTGCGAGAAAACGGACTCTGTCTAGAACCCGCGCGGAGAGAAAGCGAAGCAGATGGAGTGCTAATCTTCCCGTTGGAGGAAGCAGGGTGCCATAAACGCGACGAAGCCGAAGCTACTACGGAGATTGTGGATAAGGAAGCCATTGAAACTCTTTTTTTTTTTCTTATCTCCTTCCTTCAAATACCAGTGTATAATCTTAGTCAAAACAACAAATAAGAATAAGCCACGTGTCACGAGGTGAATACTTCAGGCCCATAAGCCCAAGAGTTGTCTCAATTTGCTTGCTGAGACTCTCTCTCTCTTTTGGAATGTGAATCGGATTAGACCGGACGCTCATGACCAGATTCAAACTGGTTTAACAAAGAAAAGATACAGAAGCATCTCTATGTGATATAATAATATCTTTGCTTTCCAACTGTTTAAAATAAGCACACTCTATATAGCAGGGAACGAGATGAACCACAAAATGTCGTGTAACTAAAAGATCTTTTATACAACTTTCAAACATTGATCAAGTTCCATCATTAGTTTTTCTCATCTTTTTCTCATCTTCGACCACATGTAGAGAATGAAGAAACAGAACAGCGCGAAAAGAACCACGTGCATGATGTGGTTGTTGCCACTACGTATGATGCTCAAGTTCAGTTTCCTTATGTTGTTCTTCACCCCAGCCTGCGCTCTCATCAATGTCACTTGCTATCACCCAAAACAAAACAAAGACAAGAACACCATTAAAGCATTTGGCCACATCCTAGAATCTTTATAATGGCACTGAATGCGTGTCTTTGCACACTTACACAATTAAATCTATGTGTTTATCCTAATTTTCTATCTGATGTTCTATATTTAACTCCATATTCACTTTCACAATGAGACCCAATAAGCTGAAACCATTTCCTGATACATTCACCTAACTAGCCGAGGTTGAAGATATCTATTCCTACCCACCAGAGTTCAGATGTCAGACTTCAGACCAGACCCTGAGTACAAGTCTGTCCATACTTTAAACTGTAAATTGACCAAGATTCATTGCTTTGTACGCTACACTAGAATTCATATACCCTACATTGGGATGCAACTGTAAATTAATAAATAAAGACCCATATTGACAGGGGTGAGTAAGCAATTAAGCATATACATTTGAATCAAGAGCTTCAGTGACATCAACAACATACCAGTTCATCTAAGAAGTCCCTCTGAAACTTAGCTTCTGAACCAATTTCCTGAGCAATCTGCATCAAAATAAACGACCAAATGAAACTCATTTAACACTGAAGTAGACAAAAAAAAAACAAAATCACCTAACACATATGGAATCAGCAAGAACTTTTACTGATTCCTTCAAGCATGGATGGTATAAACTATAAAACAATACGCAAGGAGGGCAAGAAAAAGATACTGAATAAGAGGATTTTAATTGGTAACGCAGCTAATTAGATTCACTGATGAGTAAAGAAACAAATGCATTAACATGGATCCAAAAACACCAGCTAATTAACCTAGCCTTAAGATTTAAAAAAAAGCTTTAAGAAGTTGTTCAGGACATTGAGACAGAGACAAAGAGTTGTCTGCAATGGCATGACACAGACAGTCACAAAGTGTCCCTCATCAACTAGCCATAACAATAGTCAAGAAAGATTAAAAAAGAGACAACTTTCGTAATCTATACGATCAACTCAATTCTCAAAGAAATCTACAGTCCTTCAGATCATACGATAAATTTGGCACCCTTAAGAGAAGAATATGATTTTTACATTTTTCAATTGCCTGACTTGGCCATGGAGACCAGTGATCTCATCATCCAGATCAGAGTGCATCGGATCAATCCTTAGCTGAATCTCCTCTGAACCTGTAGCAGTTCTAGTGCTAAGTCCATCTCTGTAACCAAACACATGAACCATAAAATAACCTATCTATCCAGATAATTAGAGGAAGAAAATCATAATTCAATTTCAAAAAGAGGGAAACTGATAATAGAATCATACCTGGATCTATACGGAGCGGCACCGCCATAAAGAGAACCACCCGCACCGCCTCTGTGAGGATTCGATGCCATCTAACCCCAAATCAAAAGAAGGAAAAAAAAAACCTAAAATCAAATCCTCTCAGAAAAGTTTTCGAAGAGGAATTGCAATCAGAAGAAAACAACAAATTTCAAGCAATCAGGAGAAAGTAGAAAAAAAATAGGTTGCGAATTGCGAGGAATCAAAAGAGGAGATGATGACGGTGAAACGAGCTCGCGTGGTTTTCTTTCTTCGATTCGAACACTGGTTGATTATCGTCATAAAGACAAGGCTATTTGAGTAAATTTGTATCCGAACCGATTGTTATTTTTGATAACCAATTTGACCGGTATTCTACAAGATATTTCGAACAGTATCTACCGGGTTATCATTTCCGACAAGCAATAAAAGCTTCTTCTTTTTATGAAGTCACGAGCCCAAAAAAAAGAACAAGACAAGAAGAAACACGTGTCTCACACGAGTACGTGTCGAACTTTTCCCAAAACTAAAACTGATTGTTCGGATCTCTTTTCTTCTCAACACAGAATCCATTTCTCTTTTTCTTTGATGTTTTTGCTCCATCGCAGGCTTCCCTTACTTGCACGCACAACCTTCCTCTGCAACTCCATGGAGCCTGCGGTGACATCCTCTTTCGGTGGGTCTTCTAGACTCGCCGCCTTGGCACAGCAACTGCGCATGTACAAGCCACCGCCTTCTTCACCGTTCGACGACGCTGAGGAGATGCAGCAGGCGGATCAGGAGAGCGCAGGGAAAGTTGTTTCTCAGGTTGGGTTTCAGGAGTCTATGACTCCGGTTCCGAAAGATCCTGAGAGGTTCAGACCGAAGCGAGCGGCTGTGTTGATCTGTCTCTTCGAGGGAGATGATGGTGAATTACGCGTTATACTCACTAAGAGGTCTTCCAGATTGTCTACTCACTCGGGTCTGTGCTTGCTTTTAGATAGCATCTCATCGTTTTATATAACTCTATGATCTCTGCTCTTAGCCCATATCACATAATATTTAAAGGTTTAGACTTTGAACTTGAGATCATTGGCTTAGTATGCAGAACGGTTTTGCAAATTAGTCTGAGTTGATGGGTTGAATTTTGAACAAAGCAGTATGTTTTGGTCTACTTTTGACTTTTTGAGCTGGTGGTGCTATCAACTTACTGGTTATGGTAGCATTAAAAGTTTTTTTTTTTCAAATGCAGGAGAAGTTTCACTGCCGGGTGGTAAAGCAGAGGAGGATGATAAAGATGATGGGATGACTGCAACTAGAGAGGCTGAGGAAGAGATTGGTTTGGACCCTTCACTTGTTGATGTTGTCACTTCTCTCGAACCTTTTCTATCTAAGGTATAAATAAAAATGCTCAATTCTCCTTGTTTTATATGTGATACATGTTCATAGTATGGTATTGCTAGTGACGTGGATGTACAGACTATGTTGTCTAATCTGTGCTTGAACGTTACCAGTGGCTCTAATAAGCATTGGTTCTTGGACCTCCATCTTAGCTGTAATACGCCATACATAGTAGCAGAGTTCTAGTACCTAAAGTGATTTTCTTGGAGGCTATCTAGTTTTTTTTCTTCTTATTCTTCAGTATTAGCTGTGTTAATAAGGCAGAATCATACCTTTTTTGGTTTCTTAGGCTCTAAGGATAATGTTCTCTGCTGTATGTCAAACTTTATTTTCCTTTTATGAAGTGCTAAATGCATAATTATCTATTTCTGGTTGTTATTGTTCTTACATGTATGTTATTACCTTGCAGCATCTCCTTAGAGTAATACCTGTGATAGGAATCTTGAGGGACAAAAAAACATTCAATCCAAAACCAAATCCTGCGGAAGTGGAAGCTGTGTTTGATGCACCTTTGGAAATGTTCCTCAAGGTTATTCTCTCTTTTTCTAATCAATTTAATCTATACATATATTTTTCCTTCAGAAGCATTCATTGCTTTGAACTGTTTTTTTTTATCACAGGATGAGAACAGGAGATCTGAAGAAAGAGAGTGGCTGGGAGAAAAGTATTTGATCCACTACTTTGACTACCGAACAGGAGACAAAGATTATACTATATGGGGTTTAACTGCTGGGATTTTGATCAGAGCTGCATCTGTGACTTATCAAAGACCGCCTGCTTTCACCGAGCAGTGCCCTAAGTTTAAGTACCCTAAAATGGTAGAGAAACATACTTGTATGCCTTAATGAACATAACTTGAATGGTGTCCCCCTAGATTGGTCTTCTTATAAGATCAATCAAGAAGACAGTAAACATTCCATAAAACTGATTCTGTACCAGTGAATGCAGAACTAGGATATTTGCTTATATATATGCAGACAGCTCAAGTTCATGTTCAGATGAGACATCTCATGAATCTTTTGTTTATGAGGAGATACCTGGAGGGGTTTTTCATCTTGTCATGATCTAGGTCAGTCTGTATTCTTGTATATAATAAATGTATTATATGTAACTTTTCTAGGCTTCATTTCTAAGTTGTATACTTAATGTGATCCAGAGAACCGTTGGCTTGTTATGGTTCACACTCAGTCGTTGATTTGGAGGACAATTCAGACTCGCCTTCAAAGTCTCATTTTCCATTGTAAAACTTGTGCAAAATAAATTTGTGTTCTAAACAAAATTTGAAAGCAAACTTGTCTTATGAACCTTGTAATACTTTTATTAATTGTAGCGATTTACAGTGTTATCTCTGGACCAGATTTGCTCTGTCTCATTGGCACATTCACTTACCACCATTTCTTTGTATTGAGACCTCTTTTCCTGTAATAGCATGGTTTAGGTTTGATCAGGTTCTGCATTGGCAGTTTGTATGTTTATGGATGGCTTCGATTCTGCATGCATGATTCTTGGAAGAATCTTTCGTCTCATTGAGGCAGGAATTTGCACTTGCCTACTCGTTCTAAATTCTCATGTTGTTCGGTTAATGCCTTCTTCTTGCAAGCCCTCCTTTATGTGAGAAAGTTTTTGCTTACCCTTGTTGTTACTGTTGGAATTGCTTAATAACAATTCTTTTTCTGTTTCTACCAGCTTATTTGTTGTGAAGTAGGCAAGCTTAACAAGACGAGATTCTCCTTGGTATGTTTTTCTTTTCCACTGCATTAATAGTTAACTACAATAGCTTTAGGGGTTGTTGTTTATAATATCCACTTGCTGAAATGAAAGGGACAGAGAGCAGAAACAAAAGTCAATGGGGGCATTCCGAGAATCGAACTCGGGACCTCTCGCACCCAAAGCGAGAATCATACCACTAGACCAAATGCCCTGTTGCTAAGCATTTTAGTTATAGGGCTGAAGATCTCAGTATTTTGCATTGTGATCATGATCTCTTAAGTTGACTTTTTTTGTGCACTTAGAGGGGTGTAACACGAGGACTTACTGGGAGGTCAACCATCTTAGTACTACTTTCGCCCAAGCATGATTAACTGCGGAGTTCTAATGGATCCGGTGCATTAGTACTTGTATGATCGTGATTTCTTAAGTTGACTTAAACTAAATAATTTTGTATGAATAAGATATTCCTAGATTTGTCTGAGTATTCTTTCAACTAAGATTCCAGGGACATGATTACTTGAATTTTCTAAAGGAAAGGGGATTTGTGGCTTGCAATGGAAAACACATATATGATAGGTCTAGTTGTTCAAGCCTCTTCTGTGAGAAATCACCTAGAAGAAACTAGTCATAAGTTTTCTGGTCGGCCTGTTCTTGACTCTCAAAATTTTGTTGTGAAACTAGAGTGTTGTGATACTTTTCCAGTTTGTAGAATCTTGTAGCTTGTATAAGTTTCGTTTCTTGTTTTCTTGGTACATATTTAGAAGAGAGGAGTTTTGTGATCGAAGAGAAAAAAATTAACGGATATGAAAACTAAAGTTTAGTGCTATAAGGGGGATGCTTCTTCATTGTTCAGGTAGTATATATATGTTCATTTTTAAGAATTGATGCTAGACATGTATTATTAATTGGTAGGGTGTGTATCCATCAAACCATACACAATACGATAAATCCTAACTCTAGAGACGGACTTATTTTTGTGTTTAGCGTTCGTAGTAGTATAAGATATACACTAGGTAAATACTAGCTAATAAGCCCATTCTTTAGGGAGAAAGACTTGTCTGGAACGTGAGGAGATGATGGGGCATGGCTTCTTCTTGTGCATCTTCTCTTCCGAGCTACTTACCGGTCTGGCAGGAAGAAACACTCCAGTGCCACGCGGCTTAACTCGCTCTGCACCGGCATCATCACTACTTGGCTTCTTTATGGAACCATATTGGTTCAACGCGTGCCACATCCTTGGCTTCCGATCATAGTAGCTACCTCCTCTATAGCTCTGTAAATTATGTAACAAAGGTTTATTAATCAGACATCCTTAACGTTAATTATAATAAATAAGTCATCGAACGTTATAACAGAATACAAACCTGTGGATGTGGACCAGTGCAATCAAGAAAGACCTCATTGAAGAGGTTTGAAGGTAAGAGAAGCAATACTTCCTCAACACGCAACACAGCCTCTCCTTTACAAGACATGTTGCTACAATTTCAATGACTACTAGAAAACTCCATCTAATATTTTTGCATATATATAGGTTACTTCTAATAAGGGTCAGGTCGAGTTGGGTGAACCTCTCTCTTTGTGGAGTGGTGGGTGGTGGTTGCAGTAATGTATGTATGTGGCTTTCTCTATTGTTTAGTTCAGCTTACAACTTAAACACTAGAGTTGGTGTTATGCAACATTCTTCTAACCCACCATACCAACCCTTGTTCATTGTACGTTTTCATTTGACCACCAAGTACCTTACCATAATCTATTTTTTTTATTAGTGGTTGACCTAAAATATTCAATCCAAATGTGTGTATGTATTCTTTGAAACAGAGACAAGAAGGATATTATTAAATAATGAACTTAAGAATCATGAGCACATAGCATGAAATATATAAGAGTTGGTACTGTGTAATTGGTTTAGTGTTAACCGAGTATTCAACCGGTAACTGGTTCTTGTGTAACTAAATATCAGAGCCAGGTTATTGGTTATGCTTATGCGTAGGAGTTTCCAATTCGGGTTATATTTGGTTCATGAAATAAAGAAACTGAATGTTATGGGTTATTGGTTTTGGTTCGATTTTGAATTGGTGAAACCGGATTTGGCAATTCAAGTTCTGCCTTAAACCGGATTTTTTGTCGAGCCCTAAACTAGTGAAGTGAATACGCATTAGTAAATCTATTTCCTCGCTCTTCAGTCGCCGACGGGGATGAACTCTTCACACTCGTCTCGTCGAACTTGAAAACAGACGTGAGCGTTTTCATCGGATTAGTCCTCTTTTGGGGGTTGATATGCTACTTCACGAGGTGTGCACACCACTTATTCGACGAAATTCCACCTGAAATGTTGGATGAATAAGCGGAATTTGGAGAAGCTTAAATGAAAATCGAGATCCAATGGTAAGTTGGAAAAGTACTTTATAATATTTGGCTTGCTCATTGGTTCCTCTTTGCTAAGATTGTTTGCTGTTCAATGCTTGCGTCACCTAGGTTAAAACTAAGCCCTTAAATGTATCCTATAAGCTAATCTGTCTAATAGAGCCTACGCTTAATACATTTGGTTAATGACTACATATAATAGTCTATCTACTTTAAAGGGCTTTCCGAAAATCAAATTTTAGACCTCTCGCACCCAAAGCTAGATTCATACCACTAGTCCAACTGCCTTGTTATCTGTGTTATTCAGTTAGAGCGTTCTCCTTGTTTGCTTCCCTATTTTTGTCAAATAAAATAGAAGAATGCTTTTGGAAAACCTCAGACGCGGGACATTCTGAAAAATGAACTCTGGACCTCGCACACCCTATGTGAGACTCGTACCAGTAGACCACATGCCATGTTGTTAAGGAATATAGTTGGAAATTTTAAGAGTTGGTCATACTTTGATCTAGTTACCATAGTTGACTTTTATTTAAATAAGTAGTCTAGTCTTTGTAGGATGTTTATCTAGTGATCTCTTCACCTGAAGCACCAATTGAATGATCATTTGCATTACTACTAAAATAATGGATTTTTGGTTTGGATTGTACCCTGCATTGAAAATTGAAATACTCCAGTTATATTGTTCAAGCATCTCCCATGGGAAAACACTCAGAAGATGATAAACTTTTTCCCGTTCACATTTTTGAATTGAGTTGTGATCTTGTTTGTCTTAAACATTTGACTAGACCATACTGCTAAACTGAAAACCGCTGGATTTCACACTATGTTTTTATAGGCTCTACAGTATCTAAAAGCCAATTTGATCCTTATTTGTTCTTTTTATAGGTTGAACTACATTGAGATGTATCGTTTGCTATGAAGCAAAAAATGATTCTTGTTTGGATATACATATCTCAGTTGTTTTATGCATGCACATTTACAAATAAAAATGTCAAGGGGGCATTCCGAGAATCGAACTCGGGACCTCTCGCACCCAAAGCGAGAATCATACCACTAGACCAAATGCCCTGTTGTTGATTTAGTCCCATTAGGCATCATCTTATACATCATGTGGAAAAGTGAAACACATTCACTCTGTTTTTAAGAAAACTTACCCTTGGGGGGGGGGGGGTTCCTTTTGAGGGTTCTATTCTTGGCGAAGCTGGTGATATACAACTAGATTAAGTTCAAGTTTTTCTGTTTTTAAATGAGATATTAGAATGTCTTCTTGTTTAGATAAGCTGCAAGAAATATTTTACATTTTAGATCTAGTTTTGTTAGTTGACCTTTTAGGCTTAATAGTAAAAGTTGATTGTCTGCAATTCATTATTGATGAAATGTTAGCTGGCATTTTGAAACCTTTCTTATACAAAAAGTCATGGGGGCATTCCGAGAATCGAACTCGGGACCTCTCGCACCCAAAGCGAGAATCATACCACTAGACCAAATGCCCGGTTATTGGTGTTTCTCATCTAAACATTATCTCTGTTCCTTTGCCCTTTTCTTGAAAGAACAGTTCTTGGGTCTTAGTTCTTCATCATGAACAATACAATGGAAATATATACTGTTCAAGTGTCATGTCAGTAATATGAATACTTTCAGGTTTCTTCTAGAATATAGATTTAAAAGTTTTTACCAAATTAGGCTTGGTAGCTGTTGCAACCAGAGGGAAAATCATATGCCTGGTAATTGCATGTGCTTTTGTAGATCATTAAAATGGTTTCAGTTCTTGGTTCTTAAATCCCTGCAAAAAAAGTTTTGTTTATAGTTGAAATTTGCATATTACTTTTTCCCAGTTGATGTGGTTTGATTTTAGAGAATTTAGTTGCAGAAGTGAGGTGTATTGTGATTGAATAGTTTGCTTTAGTTAAAAATTAAAATGGGTAAAATTCTGGTCCTTTTTCTGTTGAAATGCTAAAATCTTTGTTTAAGTGGCGTTTCTAACTTAGTGCCCCAGAAATGCGAGGGAAGTCATTAATGTTCTGTGTTCCATTATTGTAGCTCAATAATTGATCGCAGTGATGCCAGATGACACGCAAAGGAATGCTACAGTCTGAAACTGCTTTTTTAGTTTGCCTTTGAACATTTGGCTTTAAAACTTATAAAATTTTGGTCATACTTTGATTTAGTTCCCATAGTTGACTTTTAGTTAATAAGTAGTCCAGTCTTTGTAGGATTTTCCTAGATTTAATCTAATGAGATCTCTTCACCTGAAGTGCCGATAGAATGAGCAGTTGCCTTACCGCTAAATAAATGGATTTCTTGTAGGTATTGTATATTGTATGGAAATACTCCAGTTAAATTGGTCAAGCATCTTCCATGGGAAAAACAGTCAGAAGATAATAATTTTCCCATTTTACATTTTTGAATTGGCTTGTGATCTTGTTAGTATTAAACATTTGACTTGACCATGCTGCTAAACTCATTTGTTTCAAAAAACAATCAACGGGACCTCTTGCACCCAAAGCGAGAATCATACCACTAGACCAATTGCCCTGATGTTTGGGGTTCGGTTAATGCCATCTATCTGCATTCTTTCCGATAAATTTTGCTTTCCTTTAGTTTTGATAGATGGTTAAAACATGATTGTTGTGCTGTTTTTGCAGCCCAATCTTCGTGAATCTGGCAGTTCAACAGATTGTGATGGGCATCACCGTATGGAGGGTACTGGTTAAAATACTTATAGATTCATGATATTGGACGTGAAGCAGCGGTATGCTTTTCTTTTTATTTGCATTATGTGTTTAATGATAAAAACTTAATTAGTTTAAGTTTTCTTGTTCTCTCTGCTGAAATGAGAGAAACATATTAGCTGCATTTTAACTGGCACTTAGATCATTTGTCTTACAAAAAGTTAATGGGGGC